GTATTGTTGGAGCGCTAGGGGGGGGGGGAAGGAACGCCACCCGTACCCTGCCTCTTCCAAGCCGACAATTTTAGGCGAGGCCGCAGGCTTTGCACGCTACTAGGCCTCGACACCCACCACGCCACTCTGAGGTAAATTCATCAAAGTTTTTCCTACTCTTCACTACACCCCCACCACAATGTGTGCTATTAATATTACTTTTAAACCCAACGCGCCAACAATCGATTACTTTAATGTTCACTGTACAAATACTCATTAAGCTGGGTGAGCGTACTGCCAGTCTATCATGTACACTGTAGCCTGCTTATTAAGCTCGGTGAGCGTACTGCCACTCTATCATGTACACTCTAGCCTGCTTATGAAGCTGAGTGCGTGTACTGGCAGTCTATAATGTGGACTCTTGCCTGGTTATTATAATCGATTCTTTATATGTTCTTTGTACAAACAGTCATTAAGCTGCTTGAGCGACCCCAGTTCGATTCCAACTCACGCCCACCACCGCTGACGATTATTTGAAACGGACCTGGCCCTCCCCTAGGTCCACTCAGCCTCAAAAGCGTAACTGCTGTCGTGTGTGAACATCGTCACTGGGGAGACAAAGGCGGCGGGGCATCGTGGATCCAAGTCCCGGGCGAAGCCGGGTCATGTGTATGTGTGTTTGTGTTTATGTGTATGTCTGTGTGTCTCTATGTATGTGTGTATGTATGTGTATGTATGTGTTTGTGTGTATGTGTGTGTATGTATGTGGGTTTTTTTAATGTCTTTATGTGTATGTCTGCGTGTCTCTATGTATGTGTGTATGTACGTGTGTGCATGTGTTTGTGTGTATGTATGTGTGTGTGTATGTATGTGTGTGTCTATGTATGTGTGTGTATGTGTGTGTATGTATGTGTGTTATGTGTCTGTCTGTGTCTGCATGTATGTGTGTGTGTATTGTGTATGTGTTTGTGTGCATGTATGTGTGTGTTTGTGTGTATGTGTATGTCTGTGTGTATGTGTTTGTGTGTATGTGTGTGTATGTATGTGTGTGTATGTGTTTGTATGTGTTTGTGTGTTTACGCTCGCATTACACAAATGTGTTGCTGGTCTAAGGCGTTCCTCGCACAGCATTGCCGCTTTATTATTTCAGTCGTTTACTGCCTTACGCACCCTGAAAGTCGTGTGTGTCTGCAGCAAGCGCGTGTATGTGTACCTATGGACGCGCGCGCGTGTGTTGTGTAGGGGGAACGGTAGTGTAGTGCTTAGCGTGCTGTCTGTGTCTGTGTGTGTGTGTGTCTGTCTGTGTCTGTCTGCATGTGTCTGTCTGTGTGTGTGCGTGTGTGGTGTGTGGGGAGCGGTAGTGGAGTGCTTAGCGTGCTGTCTGTGTGTCTGTGTGTGTGTGTGTCTGTCTGTGTCTGTCTGTGTGTGTCTGCGTGTGTCTGTGTGTGTGTCTGTGCGTGTGTGGTGTGTGAGGAGCGGTGGGTGTAGTGCTTAACGCTACGCTGCGCTACCAACCCGGCGAACCCAGTTCCATTCCCGCTCACGGCCACCACCGGTGACGATTATTTGAACCTCCCCTAGGTCCACTCAGCCTCAAACGAGTAACTGGTGTGGCGTATTAACATCGGCACTTGGGAGACAAAGGCGGCCGGGCGTGGTAGATCCAAGTCCCGGGCGAAGCCGGGCCATGTGTATGTGTTTATGTGTATGTCTGTGTGTCTGTATGCATGTGTGTATGTATGTGTGTGCATGTGTTTTCATGTGTATGTGTTATGTGTATGTCTGTGTGTCTGTATGCATGTGTGTATGTATGTGTGTGCATGTGTTTGTGTGTATGTATGTGTGTGTGTATGTATGTGGGTTTCTTTGTATGTGTTTATGTGTATGTCTGCGTGCCTGTATGTATGTGTGTATGTACGTCTGTGGATGTGTTTGTGTGTATGTATGTGTGTGTCTATGTATGTGTGTGTATGTGTTTCTGTGTTTGTATGTGTGTGTATGTATGTGTGTTATGTGTCTGTCTGTGTGTCTGCATGTATGTGTGTGTGCATTGTGTATGTGTTTGTGTGTGTTTGTGTGTTTACGCTCGCATTACACAAATGTATAATGCGGGTCTAAGGCGTTCCTTACACAGCATTGCCGCTTTATTATTTCAGTCGTTTACTGCCGTATGCACCCTGAAAGTCGTGTGTGTCTGCAGCAAGCGCGTGTATGTGTACCTATGGACGCGCGCGCGTGTGTTGTGTAGGGGGAACGGTAGTGTAGTGCTTAGCGTGCTGCCTGTGTCTGTGTGTGTGTGTCTGTGTGTGTGTCTGTGTGTGTGTCTGTGTGTGTGTCTGTGTGTGTGCGTGTGTGGTGTGTGGGGAGCGGTAGTGTAGTGCTTAGCGTGCTGTCTGTGTGTCTGTGTGTGTGTGTGTCTGTGTCTGTCTGTGTGTGTCTGCGTGTGTGTGTCTGTGTGTGTGTGTCTGTGTGTGTATCTGTGCGTGTGTCGTGTGTGAGGAGCGGTGGGTGTAGTGGTTAACGCTACGCTGCGCTACCAACCCGGCGAACCGAGTTCGATTCCTGCTCATGGCCACCCCCGGTCAAGATTATTTGAACCTCCCCTAGGTCGACTCAGCCTCAAACGAGTAACTGGTGTGGTGTATTAACATCGGCACTGGGGAGACAAAGGCGGCCGGGCGTGGTGGATCCAAGTCCCGGGCGAGGCCGGGTCATGTGTATGTGTGTATGTGTTTATGTGTATGTCTGTGTGTCTGTATGCATGTGTGTATGTATGTGTGTGTATGTGTTTGTGTGTATGTATGTGTGTGTGTATGTATGTGCGTTTTTTTGTATGTGTTTATGTGTATGTCTGCGTGTCTGTATGTATGTCTGTGGATGTGTTTGTGTGTATGTATGTGTGTGTCTATGTATTGTGTGTATGTGTTTCTGTGTATGTATCTGCGTGTATGTATGTGTGTTATGTGTCTGTCTGTGTGTCTGCATGTATGTGTGTGTGTATTGTCTGTTTTTGTGTGTATGTATGTGTGTGTTTGTGTGTATGTGTATGTCTGTGTGTATGTATGTGTGTGTATGTGTTGTGTATGTGTGTATGTATGTGTGTGTATGTGTTTGTATGTGTTTGTATGTTTACGCTCGCATTACACAAATGTGTTGCAGGTCTAAGGCGTTCCTCGCCCAGCATTGCCGCTTTCTTTTTTCAGTCGTTTACTGCCGTACGCACCCTGAAAGTCGTGTGTGTCTGCAGCAAGCGCGTGTATGTGTACCTATGGATGCGCGCGCGTGTGTTGTGTAGGGGGAACGGTAGTGTAGTGCTTAGCGTGCTGCCTGTGTCTGTGTGTGTGTGTCTGTGTGTGTGTGTCTGTGTGTGTGTCTGTGTGTGTGCGTGTGTGGTGTGTGGGGAGCGGTAGTGTAGTGGTTAGCGTGCTGTCTGTGTGTCTGTGTGTGTGTCTGTCTGTGTGTGTCTGCGTGTGTCTGTGTGTGTCTGTGCGTGTGTGGTGTGTGAGGAGCGGTGGGTGTAGTGGTTAACGCTACGCTGCGCTACAAACCCGGCGAACCGAGTTCCATTCCCGCTCACGGCCACCACCGGTGACGATTATTTGAACCTCCCCTAGGTCGACTCAGCCTCAAACGAGTAACTGGTGTGGCGTATTAACATCGCCACTGGGGAGACAAAGGCGGCCGGGCCGTGGTTGATACAAGTCCCGGGCGAAGCCGGGTAGTACAGCTAGTAATTATACAAAATCATTGGCACTCGCTGGACGGGACCTTGAGCGGCTATGGATGTGGCAAACAAAATACCTAATTGAGGACCCGACCGTGGAAGCACCGCGCTCGAACGCAACATGGGAGGACACGTGTCTACCTTCCAAAAATTGGAAGTTCAAAGAATCGCCTAGCTGCGACTGTGGGCAAAGTCCAAACCATCAAACACATCACCGACTAATGCGCCATCTATGGACTTCCTGGCGGTGTCGCTGCGATCCAGACAGCGTCCGTTGCCTCATTGGATTGGTTGAAAACACTTAGGATTCAACTCACGCATTTCAAACCATTGCTTTTCGGTCCTGTCATACGAAAGAAGATGTCAACACAAATGTGTTAATGCTTAGCCAGGAAGCTTGTTCTGGCTCTGAGAGATTGTGTTGGTTATAAATGAAGTAATTCACTTGAGAGGACGATACAAGGAGAGATGCAGCCAGAGGGGTGACCTTGAAGTTCAACTCCTCTTGAAATGTAAAGAATGTAAAAGGGTGCGTGAGTTGCAGACCATTCATGAATATGAAAATGGGTTAATGTACTAAACTAATATGTAGAATCTTGATTTGAAGCTTTCGTGACTGCAGGAACCCATACTCTTTGCTTCTTTCGTTAAGTCACGTAGGTATAAAATAGGTATAAAATTAAATAAATCACGTTTCGGGCGCACCACAAGCGTCCATCGTCAGGTGGGAAAGCATGGTCTGCTGCTGAGGCAGACTGTTTTAAAAGGTTTGAAATGGGTGTAGCCCAAGGGTCATAAAGAAGTGGCCGGTGCTAGTGATGTTACTGTGAGAAATTAGCGTGTAACTGTAAGATAGGAGAGTGGCCTCCCGGACGAAGGCACGGAAATGGCTATGTTAATGTGAGAAATTAGCATGATGTTAATGTGAGAAATTACCATTTAACTGTAGAAAAGAAGGCTAAGAAGAGCGGCCTCCTCGACGAGGGAGTGCAACCCAATGGGTGCAATCCAAAGGGCCTGTGAGTTTAAGAGTGCAATCAAAAAGACATGTGAGCATGAGAGTGCAATGCAACGGATATGTGAGCATGAGAGATCTAAGAGAAAGGCATAGAGAGACACAGAGTCGAAATAACAGCTGACAAAGGCAGGTTTGATGGAAACATCACAGTCAGTTAAGACTGTACCTGGTTAATAACGTCCTTCCAATTGCTGTTTGTACCCATCCTCTTGGTTGAATTTGTGTCTGTGTAATATGTAGAACATTAACACAACACATCCACATTAAAATTTCTGTTTGCAGCATATAGATTTATTTCAAACTTTACAAAACCATGTTTATTTAAAGGAATGCTGAAAACAATTATTTACCTGTACATTTGCAACAGGAAAAATAACAAGATGAAAAGAAAAGTAAAACAAATGCTGGGCAGTGCAAAACATGCTCCTCATTCTTCATTACACCATATTAGTTTCCCACTAATTTTACAGACATGTCCAGAGCACCAACAAAAATTTGGAATGTTGAAAAAACACTATACCAGAATATTTCTATCAAGGAATTTGACAATTTACATCCACAAAAAGGTGTAGAAATTTTACGGCCACAAGTGGCAATTCCTTCTTGAAAAAAAAGCCACAATAAAATGAATATGAATCTTGTTCAGGACCAACATCATTGTCTACACAAGCATCATAACATGCAAAATTACTCTCCCCGCACAAGTTCGTGTTAAGCTATATTAGAGCTATGGAACATTGCAGTCCAGTTAATTTCTATGCAGCTGTTTTGCTGCACTGTAATTTTTCCAATACGGAGCCACATTTTGATTAAAGTTGACTGCTTCTGCAGATTTTTAGCAGTCTGTTCAACATATTAGTGGCCCCATATTTTCCCCCTGATGTTACATGGTGGCAATGACACTTTGTTAAGTAATCTTTATATCTTGATGGTTTTTTTTAACCATATTCTAGATAAAATGGTGGCCATTTCTCGCAGAAATTCCAGCTTTAACAAAGTCATAATAAATGCAATTTCAACACGACTTAAATAGAACCTAATGATCACTTTAGTTGACAGGGATAGCGGTATACGTCCTGATGCAAGGTGGAACACATGATTGCTAAAACATCCATCATGTTGGGATGATGCTTCACTTAAGACAATTAACTTTCAGAGCCAATTTAATTCTAAGGTCTGAAAATAATTTGTAAAAGAGTTATTTGGAGTCATTGGGGAATTCAGGAAAATATTTTATGTTGTGCAATATAAAGCAATTGAATCACGCCCTTGTGCGGGCAGCTGTTTTGGTTTAATTTGGCTCGAATTAAATTGCAGGCACAGTCAAATGGCAGTGATGGGTATCTTCATGACTGCACATACATCATACGCAGCCAGATTCATTCTGTAACCTTGAGTAAGTAGTTCAGTGCCCGGCCACATTTTCACTGGTCATTCACTTTTAACTATTAAAGCAAAATCGTATTTAAAAATTTACAACACGGAGAAAAAGACGTTAAAAAAGTGTCTAATAACGGATGTGAACACTTAACACCTGCAATAAATAATGTTGTGCAAAGTCAACCAAAAGCGGTCCCACCTTTGCATAAGACGTGCCACTTTTATTACATTTCAAACCATTTAGATTTCCCATTTTAAACACGTCATTTAAAAAGTTTGAGCATTTTTCTGCAAAAAGTGTTGCAGAGGTAAAGCACATCATTTAGAAAACCCATTTTTGCCTGTTCATTTTTGCTCCACGCAATTTGAATAAATTGAATCTTAAACGTAACATCACTCATGCCAGCCACTACAACAAAACACATTTCAACGGACTCTTCAAAAGGATAATGCTTATTATGTACGCTGCAAGAGAAATTCGTTTATATATATAAAAGAATCACACACACTGGTTGTGTCAAACGATAAACATTTAACACAAGCTGCTAAACACCATTTGGTGCCATGTAATGCAGAGACATGTATTTCAATTTTCCCAGCCTACTAGTTATGGATGTAAAAAAAAAATTGCTTGTAAAATTAACTTAACAGAACGTATGTGACAACTATTATGATTTTGAGCCAGAATATCCAGAGCAATTCTGTTGACGCATCAACAAGCATGAGCTATTCCACAACATTTCATTATGCATGCACTATTTGGCACTTTTTCAACTGAAATAAACTTCAATATTCTACTTTATAAAATCCTGTGAACACAAAACAAAGTTTCCTCACTCAAAAGTTGAACAAAATGTTTTTGTTTAGCTTGCAGGCATAGCAGCATAAATAGAGGTAATTTGAGTAATGTCCCGGATAAGCTTGAAAAATGGTTTATATTCCAATTAGTACGATAATGATTACCTTCAAGAGAATTTAGGTGATAAACATAAGGTGCAACATTTAAAGTAAACATTGACAATTATTTTAGGTGTTTGTATGTGCGCATTCTTCGTGACTTAACTTTAAGGTATTCATATTTATCCCTCCTTCCCCAAGACATAACAATTTTGAAAATTCAGATTAAAATAAAATAATGTAGTGTAGAATGTGAAGAAATGCAACATATCAGTGAACAAATTAAAAGCTGTTCACCAATAACTATCTTCCTGCAAAATTACCAATCAGCATCCGTCTTGATATACTGTACATTTTTTGTTTGGTCTGTGAGCGTAAACACAAGAGTTCGTGGACGATTACTGTAGAGTTCAAACCTCGTTTGGAAGGAAATAGGGGGTCCCGCTATTTTCTCTTCAAAATCACGCAGCATCATTCACCACGTTGGTGTTTCTTGGGAAATCGCAGTTAAAAAAATAACCCTCAAATTCGCAAAAAAAACCTCAAGTCCTGCACATCCCGCTTAAATTGTGTGTGATGTAGCTGATCGCAGAAAAGCATCCTCGGTATCCCAAGCGTGACCAGTGGCATCAAAAAAACTGCCGGTGCAGGAGAAGTCCTGGGCCTTCTTTTGGCACTGCCTGCCAGTGGTGTAAAACACGCACACACTGGGATGGAGGTGCTAAATGTCAACAAAAGCCATGTTTTCTTGACTGCCCACGTCATCAAACAGATGGCTTGGTGGTGACGGCGAGATGCAGCCGTTTTAAACGCAGTGGCCTTTTCCTTTTTGGCCGACTCTTCGTCTTGCTGATTTTGACAACAAAGAACGCGAGCACCACCGTGGCGCCGAAGAACGCGAACACGGGGATAGTGTGGCCCACGTCCTGGTTATACCGGCCCGGCATTATACCTGCCAGTGATGAAAAGGAAGGGGTCAGGCTGTGGTAGTTAAAATAAAAACTATTGAAGAGCATCATACACATTCACGAACATATATCAATAATCCTCAATATTGTACAAGGTTTGTTTATGTATTATAAGTAGATTTTCCTGCAATTGCATAGATACCTATGCCATAACAACAATTTGTTTACATATAGAGGAAACTTCCTGCATCATAAATGGTCATTTTTTAAAAAAATAACTAATAATTAGGCACAAGGGTTATACGACACCTAAGATTATAGAACATTTTACTATCCTAAAAAACAATGTTTGCTCCACCAAAAATCCACCAACTATAATCAAAGCCACTGAACCTTATTCTCTAGCAATCATTCTCTTACTCTTTTCGACTTGTAACTCACGTGGAATGTAGTTAATGGGTGACTGATCGACTCAAAATGAAAATGATTTCAATTCGCTACGAGTCTGCTTCAGAGTACTGGCATTTGTCAGTTCCATCGCTAGCAAATCCCATACTTCTGTAGAAGAGTTGGCGACGACTCACTCAAAGAGATGGAGGTAAAGCCGTTATTAAGGGCTACACAACACACGGGGGGGGGGGGGGGGGGGGTGGGTGAACCACTTCCCAGGGGTTAGGGGTCCCGGGCGAGGTCCCACTGGGTCCCGACACAGCCGGCTGCCCTGTGCCGTCTCCTCTGCGCCGGCCGTTCCATCCTACTTCGACCCTCCTCTCTAGCTACGACCCCGCTTATGTCACGGGGTTCCCCCTTTATCCCCGTGACGCCATCGCACCGGACAACGCACATGACGCCACTACTCTCTTCTACTCCTCTACACTTCTGTAACGAGGGACCTCACAACTGATGCCGATTCAGCAACACCTTACCCTGAGGGACGTCCCAGGCACTGCTCTCTCCGGGTGAAAGAGGCCGCACCTGGGGTCGGTTCTGCCTCAGGTTTGGGAAGGAGATTGGCTCAGGGTCCATAGCCAAAAGCTTTGGCTGCTTCCACAGATTGCTGAAATAATAACGGGGCGTGAAAATACGTGTGTGCACACGACACCGAATTACGCGTACACATCCACTGGTACATGACGATGAAGTGCAGTCAATTCATGCCACATGTGTATTCGTATATAACATGAAAACAAAGCTAAATATATGAGCATACAACAACTAAGCATTAAAAAAACACATCAATATGCAAATTAACTAACATTTTGGTCAATTAACTATCTGGACTTAAAAAAAAAACTGAAGACAATGTGCAAACATTACAAGACTGGAAAAGCGTGTTTTAAATAGAACAAGATGAACAACACGTCATTACCAATGGAATACAATTGCATCAAATTACTCTTTTATGCATTACACAACTTATGCAAATGTTCACGGATTTTGCCAGCACCTTTACGCGTCTCATCAGATTTTTTTATGCACGGGCATTTACCTGGGTGCAGTCTGGTTCAGCGGCTGCGGCTTGGCCCAGGACAGGTGGGGGCAGGCAGGAAGGGGTCGGGGCTTGGGATCCCCCAGGTGAGCTTCCAACACCTTGGAGTAACGGTACAGGTGGTTTCCTGCACAGGGAGGTTTATTAGTAAATAAGCCATTCTTTAGGAAGTATGTAAGTATGTTACCCACTGTCCCACTCGTGCAGATCCAATAAGCCACTACGTTAGCGGTGGGGGGGTCTTTACCACCCTATCGGCCAAATAGTACTTTCAAATACCTTTTGTGGACCTCACTTAAACAAATACGTCAGTAGTTTCAGTCACTGCTAAAGTGACAAGTGACTGATTGCAGTGCTAACATTAGAAACGCAGTGTTGCTACTTCTCCTCTAGTATCCGATTTTTGTGCAGTGATGGATATCATTTGCAGACTGCTTCCAAGTGGTACAACAAGTGGAGATGGGGCATATGAAATTATGTTCCGCGCAATAGGTGCCCCAGTTGGCTACGTACGGTGCGAAAGAAGTTCAACATGTATACATATAGAAGGCAGTGTTGTTGTTGACTTCACCAAATGATCCGATATTAACAGTTTTGTTTGTCACTAAACTTAATGTCCTCTTATCCAATTAATGTGAGGAACACATTTGGTTATACAAATTACTCCTTTTATTCACGCAGTAAAGCATGCAGAAACACCATCAGTAAGAATTTGCTGTCATTTCTGGGTCACTCTGTGCTTAGGCTCAGATAACCAAATGACCCTTACCTTGCAAAGACCCACATAAAATGTATGTACTGCTACTTGTGCGACTCCTCTGATTCGTACCTAACATCGGATTATAGAAAAACTTGACGGCTAGGTAACAGGATTTTGCAGAGATCTGTTTGGGAGCGTGTATAATAGGAAGGCTAAATAATCATATGGTTAACAGGACTTTCACTGTGTGAAAAAATACAAGTAAATATTCCATACGGGCATTCAGGTTTAAGGATTATTCTGCGACAGTGAAACCGTGGACCGAAGCCTCACCCTCCATGCGCGTGGGCAGTGGGCCTTCGTGAGTGATCTGCTGGATGGCCCCACGCCCATTCGCTTCCGAAAACACGGGCGAGAGGACGTCGTACGCCGTGTACTGCAGCAACGCATCCAGCATCCAGAAGCAGTCTGTGGAGTCCCCAAGAGAGATCCGATCAGTGTAAAAGAAGCACTTAAAAGTAGAATCAGCGTCATGCATAACCAACTTTGAATGAAACTTAAAATAGGTTTAATAATTTCATGAATTGTCATGATTCAAGATTGTGATTCGATTTAGGATACTTTTTTTTACAGAGTGCATGCATGCAAAAGTGCATGTTGGAAAAAACCATCACTGTCAATAACACACCCTCATACCTGCAAAGACAAAGTAAACTAACATGAATAGCAAGTGTTGTTGTTCTGATATCACAGCGTCAAACTTTGCAATTCTCTTCCCATTTGCACTGGACAGCAACAACACCAGGCACAACCATGGCCCCCGGCTTTACCCTTTTGTCGGTGGCTGTCATCGAGGCAGTTGGAGTCGCCATACAGCACAATGCGACCAGCACCATCCCCGCTCGCCTGGTACAAACCCAAGATGGGCACCCCCTCCACCGTGTAAGCCTCCTGCCGCAGCACGTCCATGCCTGCACAGACCGACCAAGTGGGAACTAATTGTGACGTAAAACCAGACGCTTTCGCTTGGTAGCCATACATAAATAGAACTGATAGGCCTATCTGTCATCGCTATATATTAATCTGAATATACATAAATTAATTTCGATAACTGTTTAATCCGCAAATGAAGAATGAATGCAACAGACTGTAATAGACATCAACAGTAGCAGCTTACCTTGATCCTTCAGCGTCTGTGTAATAACAATCCCGTCTTTGGGGAAACGCGCAATGCTGCTGCCTGAAGCATAATACACTGCGGGAACCAGAAAACAAAATTTATACACAAATTCATATTAGTTTGTTAAAAACAGACAAAGCCCCATTGTACATTTTTTGTAATGAGGTATATTTTTAATGAAGTACAATACAATTCATTTCTTAATCGACCCTTGCAGTATTTGTGTTTGACTCTTGTTGACACTCAGGTCAAGCAAATGCACACACTGCTATGAGCACAGCAAGCTATGCTGTTGCTTTGCCAATTACAATTGCATCAATAAACCCTGTGCTCTCACTGCAGAGGTGCCACCGAATAAAACCAATGCATCATGAAATTGTGCTTCTTCTGTGGCTCATTTGAAAAGCAAGGAATGGCTGCAAATAACAGTTTTCCCAACTATATTTCAGATGAAGCACATCTGAAACTATCAAGTGCAAACATAAACAAGGGGCCATTTATTTTCCTATCCTGCTGCCTGTGCACCTATGTGCTGATAAGCAACAGCCTGTCCCTGCACTGGGTGCACACCCAGGTTTGAGCAATCTCCGTCTCCCCGTGACCACACTTACTCTCGTGGTCGCCGATGGTGAAGTCGCCCTCAAACACGCGGTCGCTGAAGGCCATGTTCCAGGGCGTGAGCAGGTCATTGAGAGCCGGAACGTTTGCACCGCCCGTGTCCGGCATCCACCACTGCCTGCACGCATCATGTGGAGATACCGGTGCACTTAATACACCGTGATGGCATTGGGCCTAATGGCTTCGACTCACTAAACACACATTTGTAACATGCGTGTGCTGCTCCACTGTAAACGTGTCACCATCTCCATATTAGGGTCTAATGATAAGTCATCTATTAAAAATAACTAATATGCTCATGATCTATGCATTATTCCTATCTAAATATTCTTAATCTGATTCTGCATGGAATTGTGCATGTATGAATTATTTTTCATTCGTATGCTGTATGCCACTTAACACCTACCGCCTCTATATAGCTGCTAAAGTGCACCAAAATGGTACACCACGAATCGAATGGAAACTCCTAATCATGACAAATCATGAAATTCCGATTAAGAAAAATTGTTGTAGGCCAAAAGAGGAGAAGCGTTGGGTTCATAACTGGTGTGCAAAACTGATGGGGTATGGCTTTCCGATGCGCTTCCGTGGTGTACCACGTATTGTTCGGCACGATGTCTCATGTTTCATCAAACCCTATCAAAATATAAGTCTCTGGAGCGGGTCGCTCACCTGGTGTTCTCATCGTAGAACTTGACCTTCTGCATGACAGACGTGTTGTACCAGTCGCTCACGATAATGACGGACAGGCCATGGTCCACGTCGCGCTTCAGCTTCGACACCTCCTCGGGGAAGTACTCCTCCTCACTGTCCACCAGCACGAGCGTGCCTGCACGCCCCGTCGACGACAAGAGGCTCAGAAATGTTCCCAGCGCGAACACGTCATGTAACAGCAGTGTGGTCCAAGGACAGTCATTCATGTGATAATGAACGTAGTTGCTAAAGAAACACCCAGGATGTGGAGCGAAACATCGGATTGCGTCCTGAACAATATGTGGTACAACACGAAAACACATCAGAAAGCCATATGGCATAACCACAATTAGCTACGCGATAAACTTCCGATTAGCACGGATGGCTATGTATACATAATGCTGGTTGTTGTTCAGCCCTTTTTACAATCCACCTGCTGGATGAAGGCCTACCCACACCATGAAGGCCTCATGATGGTCAATGTGGTGGGCAGCAAAGGGCAGTAAAGCAAAAGGTTTGTTCTGCGATTCCAAGTTCTCACATCTATGCTCCCCGCCACCTTCACTAGCCGGCACTAACCAGTGTGTTGAAATATGCCTAAATAACCCCAACTACCCGCACAGCAAGGGGAGAAACTAATTCAGCATATGGATTGATATGCTGTACATGTACACACTTATAATATCTACATATGGAGGCACTCACCGTATTGGCTGGCATCAAAGCAGGTGATTGGTGCCCCTAGCACCTCCAGGAAATAGCCATTGCTGCGCAGGTGCTGGTACATGTCACGGAAGTTGGTGTGGATGTGGTCTCCATTCCTAAGCAAGGCAGAGCAGAATTAATATTTTAGAACAACAGCATTGAAATTGAGTGCTAGTGGTATATATTATTCCAATAAAACTATACTCTGGTAGGAAGACTATGGAGGGTTCCTAAAGGGGACGTTTCCCTTTTTCGTGACAGTTGCAAGATGCCTTTCCAAAGCAATGTTTAAGAATTATAATTTGTAAAAGGACTGATAAGGTACATAAAAGAGGATGACAGTAGAACTGATTGTAAGATATGGGGGAGGTATCTAAGTGTGATCAGAGAAAAACAACTCAACAGTGAGCAGAGCATCATGCAAATGAGGCACAAGAATGTGGGGGGTTCACAGTTGGCACAGATTCTGGCCACACTGATAGTCGACACAAACTATTTGGACCTGTCCTGTGTCAGAGGCATTGCCACCAATTCATGGGCGGTGACACAGCCCAGCGGTAGCGCATTCGCTGCTTATTGCAGAAGTTCACGGTTCGAATCCAGCGGTCACCCTGATTATTACTGTGTAATAACCATAATACTACTACGCGCCATCGGCTTCACAGTGGAAGTTAAATATCCCCTTGACGTCATTCGCATGAGTAGGCCAGTCTGCGGAGGTCAGGGTCCAAATTCTAAATTAACCTTATATCACTAATTTGGGATCATATGTAAGAATCATTACCCCCTACTGGCAGACTAATGCCCCGGGTCCAGAGGTCGCAATCGGGTACCCGATACCCGTACCCTACCCGATACCCGGCTAACCGTACCCAGCCGGGTACGGATACGGGTACCCGTTTGCGACCCTGGTGCAGCCGGGTACGGGTAGGCCGTGAGTCACTGGTGAGTAACCGTTTGTCACTCATTTCAGGTAGGGTACGGGTAGGGAACGAGTACCCGTACCTGGCCGGGTACGGGTACCCATTTGCGACCCTGGTGCGGCCGGGTACGGGTAAGGAATCAAAACCCGTTTGCGACCTCTGCCCGGGTCACTGTTGCAAATAACACGATTCTGGTCTTTAGAGTTATCACCTACAAAAACTAAATAACTGAAACTTACAACTTGACATGGCCTTGATGTACGTAAAACTTGGCACAGATGCCAGACTGACCGCATTACCATTTATTTATATGTTCTTTCCTAACTGTGTGTGATTTTGATTTCAGGTTCATGTCTAAAAAACAAACAATCCATCCTGTCACGAAAATTGTTCAATCACAGGCGGCTGCCTGGATGTGAAGTTAGAATTTCAGCAGTGCCAGCTCAATGCTGACCTTTGAGCTACCCGGCAAAGCTCCCTCACCACCTTTGAGCTACCCGGCAAAGCTCCCTCACCACCATTTCTCGGCGAATGCTGTTTGCTTTGTTAGTACGTGACTGCTGTGAGATATGGTGCTCAAAGCGAATGCAGCAGGGGAGGTCGTCATGACAAGTTGCGTGTGTTTTACCAGTCGAGAGGGTCGTTCTTCATGCGCAGGTTGTCACGGGGAAAGTAGCCTGGTGGGTAACGGAGGTTGTGGTACTGGTCCCAGAGGATCCGCTTACTGCGAGGAGGAGTGGGAATCACCTTGACGCGCACAGGCAGTCGGATGCTTGACGTCTGCTCGCTACTATCCTCTGCCTGCAAACACCACAGAAAGCATCACCAGCCAGATTACATTAAAACAAACGTTCGTGTCATAATGCACACTAAATATATGTAAGTCGCAACTGCCTTCATTGAAGGGAGGAATTGTCATAAAATACCACCATGTCGGATGTACTCAAGACGAACTGACTTGTCATGTACACTTGGATGGTGCATTCTTCCACCAATAAAGATAGTTTTTTCAAAAACCATCATAATCACTATCGAAGTAATACTCCATGTGAAGGACTGGAATGATTTTCATTTGACCGTGAGGTTTGTAATTTGTGGAACTTCCCACCTGTGAATTTGCTGGAGAGGCAATGGTGAGAGAGACGTGCCCATGAGCGATCCCTTCCCACCCGGCCGCCTTTTTGGCCACAGAGATGGACAGGGCCAGGTAGCCCGACCACGGCCACAAAGTTTGCGAGTAGGAAAACGCCACCTCGATGGTGTCCCCATTCTGTGGCAGGTAGGGCTGCCACACCGGCTGTGGCATACGCGCAAAAGCACACCTTTCAGAGCGACATCTATGCCCAATGCCCACTTCTATCTAATCAATTCTGAAGTGACATTTAATCACAAATAAGTTACATGATAGCAACTGGGTTCACTTAAATGTTATACTGCTGAAGAAAATAATAGCTAGATTCTGAAGCTCAATACATGTGTGGAATTTTGAGTGTGGAAGAATATTTTTTTCGATTGGTAAATGTTTCATGTAATGGGTTTACATGACCCCTGCAACCACCAGTGGCAGCTGCATATACCACGACAAAAAAAACATGTATTTTTTACATCGAATTGTAAACCCGAATCACTAAAATTATCAAATCATTGGGGGTTGGGTGAATGATTCCATCTCTAATTCTAGCATTTTATACCAGAACAGACATGTGACTAATATCCACAGCCCGAGTGAAACATACTGGATGTGATGTGCCAGGTGCATTAATGTTTTTCGGTTTGCCGACCTGGACAGATCAGCTTAAACGAATCCTCAAGTACAAGTGGAGAAAAAAAACCCGCTAAAGCTGTTAATAAACAACCAATCATTTTCCTAAAGGGGTAACTTATAACAGGATAATAAAGTAAATTCCATAAAATAATAAATAAGCCGTATCATGCAGGGGCAGGCTCACCTTGTCAACAATGCGGCCAGTGACGGCCATGCCATTGAGAATGGTGACATTGACGATGGTGGGCATGCCACCGTAGTAGATGGGCTGAGAGCAGTAGGGCCACATGTATGGACACTCAGTCAGGTCGATGTAGTTGGGGCTCAGGCTGCGCAGTCGAGCAATGAGGATGATTAACAGACACAGCAAGAGTATTGAAGATTAGTGCCATGGTAGCATTCACTGTTAAATGCTGGTCACTTAACAATGACGCTTTGTGTCTGTGTAACGCAAGTTACGTGCATGCGTGCACCTAAGCACTTAGAATAATACACAGGCACACACACTTATGCAGTGCACTAATCATTGGACCACCGCTCCCCATGCAAAAATACACATTGACACGCACGCGCACACACACACACACCTGGCCTGTGGCTTGTAGCTGTTGAGAACCTGGTATGCCCTCAGCAGGTCGAGCTTGCCATGGCCCTGTTCAAACATGTTGACCCCCGGCAGCCGGCGTGCGGAAGCCATCAGGGCTTGTTTCATACTCGCAGGGTTTATGATGTCGCGGTTCTGCACAGAGCTGCACCCAGGCAATGCCGACAAAGGCGAGACACAGGCAAGCACACATGAGCAAAGATGAACGGCGCCGCCTTCAATACATCCAAATCTGCCCATCTGGTAAACAAACCCCAAAAAAAGCCCAACCCATCTGGTTTACAGAACCCAAACAACCAACCCACCTGGCCACAAGGCTGAGGAACACACTAACCTGAACAATAAGATAGCTAGGTGATGATTAACTACCCCACCACCCCATTCAATTTAAGAATTTATTCTTCTAATTTTTACCTTCTTGTGTGCAATGTGCGTGATCTTTCTGTGAGGTGTGTAACGCTTTGTCTGCTTCCTCAGCCGAAATGTAATGATAACAAATCATTTGCATGTAATGTACACAGATCATAAATACTACATTTTCATACCACATTCAAATACACATATCGTTGAGTGTAAGAATCAATTTGAATCAAAGCATATTTACGTGGTTATTAACAGCGAAGACCACTAGCTTTCTGGTTGGCTGAGAAGCCAACCAAAGGTAATCCAAAGCAGAGCAGTGGATGGAAGGACAGACATAAGCACCTGTCCGGATGGGGAGGAGACACCAAAGACAAAGATCCTCCTATAGCCTTAACAGACTGTTGGGGCAAGTGCTGTTAGTGAGCACCTCCGAAGGCCGACACGGCACACGAGGGGATGGATGACGAGCACCACACCCGGCCGCCTTTGTCTCCCCAAGTGGCGATATTTACATACCGCACCAGGTACTCATTTGAGGCCGAATCGACCTTGGGGAGGCCCAGGAACGGTTCAGGTATTTCTCACCGATGTTGGTCGTGAGCAGGAATCGAACCCGGTGGCTGTGTTCGTAGTGCAGCACGCTAACCGCGATAACTACCGCTCCCGACGGAGGAGAGACCACACACCTGGCGAGGAGTGTGACGGCGCCAGTGACGACAGGAGAGGCGACGCTGGTGCCCGATAGCGAGCGGCAACCACCGTTGATGCCGGAACCGCGTACACCCGAGCCGTACGTCACGATGTCTGGCTTCATGCGTCCATAGCCACCGGGCAACTCCTGCACAGCCACACACACACATGCTCAATTGGCTTCTATCTCGAGTTCAAGGAATACGTAGCTGCACTGAAATATCCACGAGGCAGTGATGTGGACAATCTTTTCATATCACGGTTTGCTGCACACAGGTCCAAGAGCCCCGAATGCCACGTGGCCAGCACACAAATAGACTATTGAACATATAATAGACAGGCGTTAATACATTTATTGCATTGAGCAAGCTGAAAAGAACTTGGGAAAAGTGACAATGAGAGAGAATTCAAAGTCGAGGAGTGCGAGGAAAGTGAACAGAAAAAGAAGTTGCTTTGTTCTGCGGTGTGGTGATTGGACACAGCACCAATGAGACGAAACAGTCAGCCTGGTAGTCCAGGCCCTCAGCATGGGTGGAGAAATCAATGGGTGAAGTTTATGGGGAACAGTAACGACGGAGGAGCTATAAGGACAGCAGACATCAGCAGCAGAGTACTCGGTTTGCACTTATCTAACAGCAAATTTTCTGAGGTGGCTATCAGCATGTTCCATAGTCATGCCAACAAACGGCAAAAGGTAAAGTGCATTAAGGAGTGTTTTCTGTTCATACTCTTACTTCTTTCGGTAAAGTCACGTAGGTAAAAAATGAAATTAAAATTAATAATTAATTAACAATTTCATTTTTTACCTACGTGACTTTACCGAAAGAACTAAGAGTATGAATCCTTGCAGTCACGAAAGCTTCAAATCTAGAAGTGTTTTCTGTTGCCAAGACAGCTCATGGGAAAGGACGTCACAACATCCTACTGTATCGCCCTTATCCATATTGTGTTCAACAACCACACCGCGGAACAAACAATTCTCGTTGTGCTTCTGCCCTGGCACCGACTAACTTTGGAATTCCCTCCCATCATCTCTTTTCCCAAGCTCTCATAACCTGATGAGGCAGTGTTATTGATGACAGCGTTAGCGTTTTCTTTTCTGGAAACTGTTCTGGTTCACTCATTTCTGCCCATTAATATTAGCATGGGGGGGTTCATCCAGCAGTGGATTGATTAATTGTTGTACATGCACACGAGGTCATTTAGTGACAATCATAAGCCTAGTTTCACTGATTTCAATAACTAGGAGTCTAGTGTAGTCAGTATGTAGGAGTCTACCATGGTGGTATTTTACCTTGAGTTAGAAGCCTAATCTCACTGATGTCAGTAACTAGGAATCTAGTGTAGTTATTATTTTGAGTCTACCATTGTGGCATTTTAGCTCAACTTGAGTTATCCGCCCCACGCATACCCAGGTGGTCATCCCTCTGGAGGAGAAACGGGCGATGTTGTCCTCAAAGTCAATGCCTCCCACCCCGATCACGTCCATCTGGTCGGCCGGATTGTTGAGGGTGCTGCACACACGCAAATACGTGCATAAACGTCAGTCCACACTTATCCTTTACAACACAAATAATACTTGTGTTTATTTCCACGTTTATATTCACAAAGGGACTCAATGACTAAATTGTATGAATGGCATTTCTAGGAATTAACCAAGGCATGCAAACAAATATGAGTGCAAAGGGAAACTGACAGAGCTTGAGTGTAATGAATGTACACAATTTAAAAGAATGAACAATCAGACCCACAGATGATGCCTTCGTTAAACGTTTAAAGAAACGTAAAGATAACCTTTACGTTATAACCTGGCGTTACTTACTGGCACACCAAGCAAAGGATAATTCTATACAACAGGTATATAATGCATGTGTATGTTCAACAACATAATTTATTCCCACTTCATGTGGGGGGGGGATATTTAAAATATGCACAGTCGAAGGCTGTGTTTCATGTACAAGCAGTCCAAATGTATACACCCCAGGGTTCAATATAAAACAAGATCCCCATATTACAATTCTGGTTCACTTATTAAAACACACTTACCCGTACAAAGGGCCATCATTCCCTATTGCTGACACCATTATGACCTTGTTAGCTGTGAGTTCCCAAACCTGCCAGGTTTAAAAAAAAGAAACCGATTAGCTTTTAAAGCATAAGAGAACACACATACATAAAACACCGTATGTAAATAGCCGCACTACCACAAATAATTCAAAATGATAAAAGACTGTCATTTCAACATTGCCTCCAGGGCCTAAATCAGGAGTGGGGAAACCTTTTCCTTAATGAAGGCCGAATAGGACTTTCAAATGCCTTTCGTGGGCCACACATTAACGAACACAACTTGGTTACTTCTGGCACTGCAAACGGCCCTTGCAGCGACAGACAGCGCACTAACACTGATCAACAGTGTTGCTGGGTAAAAAATATTTCACTCCAGTACCCGATTAGTGTGGCTAAGATGCTTTCAGTGAAGGATGAATACTGTTTAACGCGCCGTTTTTAAGTGTCAAATCTCATGCGCCTGCAGGTCATGTGAGATTAAGTCACGGGCCACAGATTCCCCACTCCTGATTTAAAGCAACTACACTTAGCAGGTGTTGCCCATGTGCTCTGATGCAACTATGCTCCATCTTCTGCTTTGCAAATTCCTGACTTGCTCACCTTATCTACAAATGGGTGGTCCATGAAGTCAGGCCCACCGATACTGAGGTTCAGCACATTGATCTTCTTCTGGATGGCGTAGTTGAAAGCGTCCAGGAACCACGAGGTGTAGGATACCTGTACACATGCACACAGGTCGAATATAATACTAATACAAATAATCTACAAGCTGTAGAACATAAATTATCAAAGCTTCCGTGTATCACACTATAAAACAAACATTCTTCACCTACATTTTTAAAACAAAAGGTGACACATCATTCGGGATGGAAAATTTAATAAAAGCCACTGATAAATTTGCACAGGTGATAGATATAGCTCAGTATAAAACAATTGGAACATGATATGATTTGGTGAAGAGATAATGTAATATTTATACCATGCACAAAATCCGCTACATCTTAACTCTGTGAAAAAATCAGTAATCCAATTAAATTCTTCATCATAACGCCATGTTAAATTATTAGAAGATCACAGCATCTGCACAGCAAATGATGGAAGGCCAGTGGAAGACTAAGGCACTATTTTATGTTTAATTGAAAAACACAGAACTTGCTGTACGTTGCCATGAAGGTGTAAAGCTGGCCATTGACCAAACAAAGAAGCATAAACAACGCTTGGTTTGTTTCAGAATTGATTAATCAATTAAAAACATATTTGGAGTATGACTGAATACTTGAAAAAACAATGACACTACAGTTGTGCATATTTAAAACACTATTACTAATGTACTAAATATAGTGCATAAAAACTGCAGTGCAAACATTTTGTTCATTTAAGTTATCAAGAGAGCAACAATAATTATGTCAGTACATAGGAGTGAGCTTACTATGCCAGTTTTAAAATTACACTTCACGGGTAGAATATGAATTGGTTCACGAACGCTGCGGCTCATTTATGTGGAAGTGTTTTGTGTGAAAAATAAAGCAATATACTATTTTAGGCTGACCCTATACTCGGAGTACCACCAATCAAACCATGAGCCACCATATTTATAGAACAAAATTGGAACATTTTATTTAGCCGATTTGTCGAGCTATACATATCAAAACAAGGATGATTCACATAATTAAAACCTCTTCATCAATCAACTACTGAATTAAGGCTTCCCATGCCGTGTCAGTCATAGGGGTTATTTGACCATACTTCTCCACACTGGTCGGTGCGGGCTAGTGAAGGTGGGGGGAGGTGACCTAGGACTTTACTGCATTGGGATATTTGGCCAATGCTTTCTAAAGGAGTGATTTATTTAACAATGAAAGAGGTCAGCTGCGCTAGCTCCCACTGTAAGAAAATGTTTCTGGTCACCTACTCTATATCTCTGAGTCAAGAACCTCTGCCCAACCACGACACTTTTAACCAAACATACTTGTAACCTTTTAATCACAAGGCCATCATTAACAACATCCATTACCTGGTTGTTGGTAAAAACGCGAAAAATGTGTAGCTCGGCATCAGGAGCGAATCCTTGGCACTCCCGCATACTAGCAATCACCCCTGCCACGAAAGTGCCATGGCCCAGTCCTGCACCAATCACACAGCAACAGCCAAGTATTTACTGAAATATACCATTGTGTATCAGGGTGAAAAAAGTGACAAGATTAATAAAGAACCCATTTTTTCAGCATGCAAATCTGTCAGCATAGAAGAATGCATTTTCCAATTACTTCATGGGGAAATTGCACTGCTGAGCATGTAAGAAGTAAAACAAGTGCCATGTGTGCTAGTGATTATTCACGTAATTTTTTAAGCGGGTGTTAGCAGAGATGCAAAAGTCTACACTCAATGGTATGGACAGTCTTTTCTCATAAAAAAATCCTGAGCCAAAAATACAGTGATATCGAACCACATTAGACAAAAGCCAACACCATCTCAACACGGTGCCAATAACTTTGAAATATACAATAAAAGCTCAAAGTATAGCACTTAAAAATGTTGCCTACAAATGTACTAGTGAAGCCATCTGTCTGCATCTGCAATGTTTATTTAAATGTCTTTCAGACCCAAGGCATTTAACTATTTCTTAAGAAACTCAGCGGCAAATTCAACATGAAGATCAACCACGTTAGACTGTGATTTGGAAAATGATTGAGTTAATTTTGCAAAGACCGGACCTCGACGGGCTACTCTAGTTAAAAGCACTGCACAATGTTTCGTGTCAGCAAGAGAGAAATGGTGCCAACAGTGTCAATGATTCCTCTGTGATGGCATTTTATTGGCTCAAACTGGGAAACACTCCACTCAAGTCACTCACTCTCTCCCTCAGGGCTGCAGGGGAATACAACCACTCCTTCAGCGATTAAATTTAAGAGATGTGCACAGTAAGCATCCTCCTGGGTGAGGCATGACCCTGGGAACACATCAAAGACACCCCCCCCCCCTCCTGAAATGTCGTGCCATTCTATAATCAATTGTATCATTGACTTCAGGTGCTCAAAGGAATATGCAGCTTGGCAGCCTAACTCCATTAATCAACCATCTCCAAGCTCAACATTTAAGAATCATTATTATCTGTCCTTTAAGTAAAAACTTCACCTTAACGTAGAAACTAAACGCCACAGCATATCGGTTAAGAAACAGTGATATCTGCTATGCCACAAATGTTAACCTGACTGGAGTGTGTCTATTATATTATGAATACCAAAGAAAACTAAGTCGAAAGCTTTTGCCTACAGTTTTTTTTTATAGTAGTCAACAGTTAAGGCTCTTCATGTAATTTGGTTTCACCTTCCTAAGTAAAAGAGGTGAAATATAGGCACGCAAAGACTAAAATATATCAAACAGAACAAAGTATCTTCTTGGTTCTTTCGGTAAAGTCACGTAGAAGGGAAATAATAAAAATAATAATAAAAATAAAACATAATAAAATAATTAGCACGACGTTTCGGCTACAACGCAAGCAGCCGTCCTCAGGTGAAGAAACGTCGTGAGAATTATTTTATTATGTTTAATTTTTATTATTTTATTATTTCCCTTCTACGTGACTTGACCGAAAGAACCAAGAAGAAAAAAATATGTTCCATTATTTTGGTTAAGAATACCATTTCACTATACAGGCACCCAGATGCAATGAGCATAAAGAACACAACTTGCACTTCTCGCATGCTGGCTCAACCGTGATTTGAACACAACGGGGGGAAAACAGACACAATTTTGCATATCCCCTGAGGAGCATGTGGAAGAGGTGTTGTTGGGATACACTACTCTTGCACGACTTCAATTATCTCAGGAAGGATGCGTTACCCTGGGGAAACACGTTTGCTGTCTATGGAAACGGTAATCAAACCCCAATAGCATGCGTGGGAGGGCTGCCAACTAGACACTACCTCACAAGGGCATCAGGAGCTTTGGAAAATGTAGTGAGCTCAAGCAAGATGTTATTTTAGTATCCACTTACTATCCAACACAAATGCAGTCCCAAAAGAATGTTAAAGGGGGTGGAATTGTCAACTATAATTCCCTTGTGATGCCTCCAAATACATCGTACCTCTATCCAATGCTTAGAGAATTCAGAAAATTATTTTAATGATTTTCACATAAAGTGAGCCATCAAGGTTATAGATGCAAGCTGCTTCAGCTAGCCATAATATTACAACGCCACTTGAACTACACACTTTTAAATCTAGATTGAAAACCAATTTCTTTAGAACAGTTTTTTGCATTTAAGTTTGTCGTCTTCCCGCCACACCTCCGATTAGCACGGTTAGCTATGTACGGTGACAAAAGAGGTTCCGCCTAAATATATATATATACATAACAGTGGTTATAGATGCAAGCCTGCTTCAAGCTGGCCACCACCGAGGTAGTGACAGAAACGAGGAAGGCGATGTGCTTTCGCGCACCGTCGTCGAGTGTTTTCTCGTTAGTCCAGTTGGTGCGCTCCTTCACATTCTTGAAGTGGGGGTGTCGCTCGCTCAATCCCGTGTCAAACACAGCCACCCGCACACCAGCTCCTGTCACAGACAACACCACCACCACCGTACAACTGTGGAGACAGCCCAGCCCAGTCGTGGAGATTCGACATTGGCAGATGCATTTAGCCAGGCTCATCCTGGTGAAATATATCTGGCGCACAGTTACAGATCTATTCCCTTTTTGGCCCCTGCAATGGATATAGAAACACAGTATTTAAGAGTTTTAACTTTATATGAACTGTAAAAATAAAATTTTAAGGAATTTACTGAGTGTAAGAACTGATTTTATTTCATGTTTCATTCCCAAAAAAAGTAAAAATGTAGGTGAATGCCTTTATTAAAATTGCTTACTATTTTGAAATACCATTATCCGGCAAGTAACACGATGTGTGCTGTCTACATTTTGGATAACTTGAGAAAATACAGCAGTATATATTTATCGTTTAAGCACCTCCTTCCGCACCATATTTCATAACCTAAGCATATAAATTACCATGAAAAAAAACACCATTTGCAACTTCATGTTTTAAACAAAGATCAGAAGATAGACAGCTGCAATTACTCCTATCACTACTCAGTTTGGTTGGCAAAAATGTTTAACTGACATTAAAAGGTTAAATTCCTCTGTCATAGTTTACGTAATGACACCTTGAGTGAACTCCTACCGATGGAACACACCGTGTCATTGCAATCACGCTTACACGCAGCAACAGTGCTGAAGATGCATTTTTAGAAACCCCCACGGTCAGCAAAAGATGTTTTGCTTAAATACCGAGGCTCAAATGTTCAAAAAGTGGTCATTGCGCACGTCTAGTTTTCACAAGTCGTTTGACAAATTCTCGAGAAAGGCGACAATTTATTTAACTTTAATAAGATGAACCTGAATTGTAATGCCGATTAAATAATACCTACAAATATATGTTAATAATCTATGCATCTAGATTTTCTACGCATTCCTTATATACTTAAGTCATTTACAATTTTATGTAAAGTGATTTGACATAATACTTGTCAAAAAAATTCCAACCTACACTTTTTTTCCTGTGGAAAACAGCAGAACAATGCTTTGAGGCAGATGACCTATTTTTAAATCCTTTATATTAAGTTCGCTTGCTTGCTTAGGACCGTGCAAATCTTTCGGTCGTTTTTTAACCCACTTCCCGTGATCCAAATCGAGCTGACATTTTCCACACAGACTCGTTGTGCGTGACAATTAATGTTCGTGAATAATTTTTTTCCAAAATTTGACAGTTTTTAGGACAAAAATATTATATTTAATTACCAATTGCTTAATGGTGCAATGCAATCATTTGACCCATAGGTGGCAGCCATCTCAAGCCAGAGGACGAGAGGACTCTAGCCGCCACGCATATAAAGGATTTATAGTGAAAAACTTTGTTTTTACGGGTTATACTTGTTAAATAGTTCACTTACATAAAAAATACAGTTTTTATTTTATTTTCAACCTCTCAAGACAAATGATATTAACTAATCACTCTTATATAAGCAACCAATGAAATATTAGATAGGGCTTTTTATTCTTATTATTACCGTTTACAAAGCCTCTCGAGGGTTTACAGAGCAGATTGACAGGCAATCATATCATCACAAGGATGTAGTAGTCACTGATATTAGGTCAGAGGTCCGACTCGGACCTCATTATGATACGAGACATTTAAAAAATATATTGACATTCAGAAAGAGGCTACACTGATTACGGTTGACATTGACCGATGGCAACGTTTCTATGGCAATGTAATTGGCGAACAAGGCTAACGATGACTTGACTGATGCCACTTTTTCCAAAGGCAAAACAAAGTCAAGCCCTTTTGGGGCCCTCATGGTATTTTTTAACTGCCAATTTGCCAAACAGAGTCTAACCAAACCTTAATAAGTTCGTGCTGCAAGATGTGAATCGGATGTGGAGCCAAGCAGGGCCTAGGCGTAGGGCTAATGATACGTTCAATGCATGCGAACTCAGCCGCACGGCTCGGCTTTTGCGGCGTAAGAACCTGTCGCTTCCCCGAGCATCAGCGGGCTGGGCTCAGCATGGTTCTGGCACAGTTGAGTTGCACAGTGGAAGAGAGGTATGGCCAACTGAATCAACTACAGCTCACACAGGCCCATACGGTTACAGTCTTCATCATTAGACCTCTTTTGCCAGTACCAAAATATAATAATAGGGTTTTCCCCCTTTTTTCTGGCAACAAAACTGAGGTTTCAGTCTTTTTAAACTAAAAAAGCTCTTTTTATTTTACCAGGTAAGGCCCACTGAGCTATATAGCTATTTATCAAAAGCGAACCTGTCACAAATGATAATTCAAAAAAGTGGCTTATTATGTGCAAATATAAAGCAGCCAAATAATCTGAACGCATGTTTCTCATTGTGGAGGGAAAAACCGGAGGAGCTGGAGAAAAATCCACACGACCACGGGGAGAGAGACACGCAAATTCCAAATATACAGGCGTCAGGGTCGGGATCGAACCCTACGACCTCCTGTGGCGAGGTAGTTAAGCATCTTGCCACCGCTCCGCCCAAGCCGACCGCACACCTGTGAAGCCCATGCCCCAGAGCGAGTCGGCCTGCAAGGTCTGCGCAACCTGGCGCGGGATGGCGCGCAGAAGGCGCCGAGACGAGTGGCGTCCTGTCGAACGCCAGAAGTTGGATCCCAGCGAGAGGCTGGTGCGGCGCAGGGCGCGCGAAGATTGCCATTTCTGGGGCCACCCCGCAGAGCCGTTGCACGGTGACTCTGTAAAGCGGGTGGGGGAATCAAGTCAAGCGAGTCTGTCTAAAAAAAAAAAATAACGAAATATCAGTTGTTATTTTACACTACAAATACTACGGCAATCATCTATGAAACATGTGCTTCACAGAATGGTCACCAAAGAGCCTCCATTTGACAGAACCATTTGAAAAGCACTGTGTATGCAAAAGCATGTCTCCAAGGTGGGTCTGTGTGCAAACAGTGGATTAATGTCTTATAAATGCATGCTTTAGAGGCTTACTGGGAAAGCTTCAGTTTTTAAATATGAAAAACAAAGTGGCAAAGAGCTCTGTACAAACATGTAAAAAATAAAATCGCTGCTAAGAGATGAATATGTTAAGAGGCAACAGTGGGCATTTAAAAAATATTCCATGTACACATGCACTGCCTGCGTATTTGCGTGGGATACACAGCCAGGATAGGGGGGGTGGGTGAGGGCGATGCACGAACCCAGTTAAACGCAGCTAACATCACCCGACACTGCACACCAGTCAGACAGCTAGCCAGATTTATTTTTCTCTAAAAAAGTATGATATGAAATGTATACAATTTTTAGCAAATTGAAATAACGCTTGATTGTAGTTTTGTTCATATTAAATACACATTCAACTGAAAGAAAAATAAAACGCATTAAAATTGACAAAACACTAACATGTGTGTATTTTGCAGATGTGACCACAACCAACTCCAGATTTCATTGTTACAAGCATGTACCTCCCTATGCTTCTTTGCGCACTTTTAAGTTTGTTTATTTTTTGTCAATATCCATGTTTTTGATCCATGTGACATCAGGCAAAGACCAACTCACTAAACTTGAGAAACATGTTTAATCGGGTTCTCAAGGATACTCAACAGTGCCAGCTCGGCACTGACCTCTGGAGCCATCTGCCTCGTGACTGATTGGATGCATCTCCGTTTAACAGACAACACAGGGGCAACTTCACCTCGTATGCAATCGCATCACATGACACAGCACGATATAGTCCAGGGCACCTGACAGGAGACTCACCGTCCACGAACTTGAGCGAGCGTACAACTCGGCGCTGCGGCGTTACGCGGCGCACGCTTGGGTGCCGCTCAAGAGCGACGATGCCGTGCCGTCGCCGTTCGCCGATTGTCACCACCTCGAAGTCACTGGGAAAGTCACTGGCGGCATTGTGCCGCGGCACCACGTGCCACGACGACACGCCGGCGCCCCGTAAGGCGCCCGCCACGAAGGAGTGTCGCGCTCGCGCTGTGAAGTACCCGTTGAACGTCACGATGTATTCTGCAACGGGCACAGCGATCCGTCAAAGGTGTCACAGGCAGCACGTGGGCTGTGTCCTCTGATTCGTTTGTTACCATCTTTCATGCACGCACTCTCAATACCTGCTCTGCACTGATGATTGTATGAACGTTTTTCTCACCGTACGTAGCCAACCGTGCTAATCGGAGGTGCCAATTATTATGGTTCTAATAATAAACATGCCCTTTATTTATCCATTCAGGGAAGTCTCACCAGGTTTCTATATATTTTTTAGGAGGGCGATACATTGGGTTGTGTGGCCAATTCCTTTTTAATGAGTGTTTTGTGTGCGAAAAGAAACCTGAGCGTCAAAAGAATATCCAGAAATATAAAAGAGATAGTAATAAAAAGGTTGCAAAGATGCTTTCACAAACCAACTTGGTGTACTGCCATTTCCTCGGCAATTCGCAGCTCAGTGGATTTTTTATTTTCACGAAAATACAGTGTGTGGTCCAGACCCTTGCATAGTAATGTCTACTTTGTATATTGTCCATTGTTACTGAGAATGAACTGTGACACTAATTTGTAAAAGTACGGAATAATATGCTGATGATGAAATCATCCTGCAATGTCCTCTGAGGCAAGAGGGGGCAAAAGTGCCAACAAATATATTCTACATCACATCCATCCACAAGTGAAACTTGAGCAAAAAATCTGCATTTATTGTGCTAACTTGAACTTTTCACAAATAGCAAGTGGTCATCTCAATGTGGTACAAATTAAGAGGTGACTTATTTCCTGGCCTGGCTCATGGGTGGAGTATGGAAACCACGATCACACCCAGTACTTTATTCGGCCACATATTGCAGCCAAAAGCTGCTTTTATGCCAGGCTGTGAACGAGACCAAAACCAGTCAATTGGAAACTGGCTCACAATTTTAAGTTACGATTGCTGATAAGAAAGGTACAAGACAGCATCTATTTTATAACATTACCACCACCCTGCTAAGTTGTTTTTGCAAGAGACAAAAAAACAGTGGAGTGTAAAATGTCATAAAAAGAGCAATGTGTCACTGTGCTGGATTTATCTTTTTATGAACAGCCAAACCTTCCAAAGTATTATACAATTCCAATAAAAAGCTATTGACTTATCCAAAAACATATGAAATGTCAAATAAAATAAGCATCAAACTCCAAAATACATTTCCAGAATGTGGAGTATTTTGGCTTAATATTACATTCATAGAAATAATGTTGTGCGTGTGTGTGTAAACGTCTGATGGAAAACAAATATTTATTGCAATACATCAGCTACAGAGGAAGACTGTCTGGTAGCTTAATTTCATACAACAAAACAAACCGAAAGCATTCATGTTTGAAAATAACAGCAAAAAATTAAGTTTAAAACGTCCATATAAAGCACTAAAATGACAAGTGTCCATTCAGAAGGTAACAGAAGTGTTCTTTCAAACTGTCGGTCACAAGCAGCAGCTGCTGCCAGTGAGCCACTTCTGTGCTATAGCCATTCGCGGGGCGGCTTTAATTCTAACAAAATCCATGCGAAGTGCATCTGGCGCATCACTGTGCCGCCCGCTTCACGCGAGGGATGCCTCGAGTCGAGAGGGCCCATCGGCACCTCATGCTCCACTCTAGACTTTCAAAATGTCGCAGCCTTAACCTTGGCCTTTAAATAATCTGTCACTGTCAATGAGTGATATGCGCACAGGATGTACAATAAGACCATATACTGTCATATTCAACTGTAATGAACGTTTTTTTAGTGTGTATAAAGAGATTATGTAACAGCAGCCACTCGTTAAACCAAGTTGTTGCACAACGCATAAAATAACATTTGAAATTGGCAGCGCAAAGTATTTAATCTGTTTTAACACTGAGCATGCAAATGACACATAAGCATCCCACTTCAAGAGGCTGACAGGATCTGCAGGGCTGTGAGCAGGATTTAGCTCTATCGATCTGAATGATGTTCATGGGTTGGGAGCGATGCAGCCACTGGGAATGCACATCATGAGTACTGATCCACATTAAATGCCGTCCCTTCACAAGTTGCAAAATAAAACCAGGCCACAGTGTGCCTCCACATTTAGCTTGCCAGTCGAGGTGGTGGGGGGGGGGGGAACAAGTGACTCATTTTCTTTAAGTAGAAAGTGGTAATCTTATATATGCATTGAGTATTCTTCAAGGTAATTGGTGCAACACACACATGCCATTGTGTACATCAACACTGCCCTGACTACATACCAGTGCCATTCAATGAACTGAACTGATGAGGTCCCATAAACTGGACAGGTGAGAAGGCAACTTAAGCGAGGCAAATTGTGCTTACACACGAACATTACTGTGCACCGGTCTCATTTTGATAGAGTAACCAACCAGACCTATGTAAGCAGGCAACAATTACAGCATTGCTGCTGTAAAAATTAAGCAGATTGTATGTATGCTACAACACTGCAGTTTTGTGATCAGAGTGATAAGCATTACTTCCCTGGATTTGTTGCAGGAACATTCATTTTCCAATTCACCACATGTCTCAGCTTAGTTATTTAATTATCGCTATTGTGCTTGGTTCGTCCAGATGGAGTGTCTAGGATAAACGCACGCAATGGTCGTCTCTAAGGGGTATGATATACAAAGGTTGAATATGAAAGTCAAATCCGCTAAACTAAGCACATGGCAGTGCTTAAGTTTAGATCGCACGCATAGCAGAGGCAGCCATAATACCGGAGCGTGCACGCATCCGGCTATGCCGGAGTGCTTGAGCATTGACTTAAACATTTCCACCAATGATCCACTTTGCACTGACAGTCCTGCCCAGAGTACACAGTGGTAAGTGCAAGTTGGTAGGTTTTAATTATCCCTGGAAATTATACAAAGAAACAGGAGTTAACTAAAAAAAATGTGTTGGAGCACGTCATTCAGTAACTGCAAATACAATAAAATCCAGCCTTTGAAAATGTACTTTTAAATACAATCATAAACACATCCTGTGAAACAGATGCGTAGGTGTCTTAAGGTTAAAACAGATACCACAAAGAGCAACCATAACCCTGTGTGCTAAGCTATATTACTGTGTTTATATGTACAGTACATGAGTTGTAAACCCATAGCTCTCACTGTTAAGTGAGACCCACTGGTCAAAACCTAACATGAAAATGTTTGACAAACAAGTATGTAGTTGTTTGGCAGGTACACATCTACTATGATTTTAAAAGGGTGTGCTCATGAAATGTACAAGCACCAATCTACCAGAAAGAGCGAGCTATAATTTCAATTTCAGAAGAGCTCACTCATAATGACATTGAAAGACCTTTGAAAGCACACAACAAAAAAACCTCCATAAGTAGTGGACCAAAACAGAATGTTCGACTCCCACACCTGATGAAATGGGTGGAGAAATGAAGGGGGGTTGTTGTATGCCCACAACATGGTCAGTCAAATCTATGAAGCAAAGGTACACTTTGTGACAACACTGGCAGAATGTCATCGAGCCGTTTCCATCGAGGTTTATTTCAGATGCAAAGGCATTTGTGCCGGGGGGTCCTGCGATCGCTTACCATTGCTGACCACGCTGGATGAGAAGTCCAGCTTGATGGACGTGTGGTTGCAGTTGAACGGGGGACGAGAGGGCTCGGGCGGCAGGGATGGAACGATGAAAATTCCATCCCCGGCACCTCGCCCTCCCCCGGGGCACAGCAGCAGCACGAGCAGGAGCACCCTCAGGGAGGCACCTCCCTCAAGCAGCCTCATGGCTCGACGCCCTCGGGATGCACTTTTTCCCCCCCCTTCAAGTTTGGCTCCCTTTTCGAAGCAAAGAATCACTTTGGCCGCACACAATTCATTTCAGCTGCAAGTATGCCAAGCTTCCCTGGCCAGTGACCAGAAGGAAGCCTGAAAATCAAAGAGGCATGGCTGACCAGTCTTTATACATTTTTCCAGCATAGCCCACCTTCAGTCTTATGCATCATCGCATGTTGTTCCAGCATTGTTCTGACTGACTTCACCATTGAGTAGCCGATCACTATTGATTTTTTTCTGCTTCTTCCATGGTATCTCTGTTCATTGTATCTCGGCCACTGTTGAATGCTGTTGCAGGCACAAGCTATACTGGGCTAATGTGTGTTCGACTCCAAGACTCCTCAGGATTGTTCAGGAGCAATCCAGGAAGAAGCCGGAATAATTCTCCGTCACTCACTTCGGCACGTTGGAGCGATATTTACCTGCAAGAGAGAAAGAGTGGTTGCTGCCTGTTTCATCATCAAGCAAATGTCCACAAGAAGCCTATATTTAAATTGAATACATTCCAGGGAAAAGTTATATGGTAATATTATTTTAACATATTTTCTTGAGGCGTGTGCTCCAAGCCCAATGTCAGAAGCATGTAAGATGAAGATAAAATACAAATAAAAGTACAGTACAAGACACAAAAAGAAAAGGCATACTACAAAGCCCTTAAAGGTCATGTATTTAGGCTTAAGATTGCATTTTAGTGAGAGCTAAAACCACTCAACCATAATTCAGCTGAAAAATACTTAAATATTTTTGGCTAAAATACACATTGGGAAATGTATATTTAGCCACTGAAGTCTCAATGTATGACCTATATTTGTACAAGATATTGAGCCGAGCTTGCATTTTAGATCATTAATAAAACCACCTTATATTCTTCGGTAGGAATTGTTTACAAGTGTGGGTAAAGTGTCAGTGTGCAGCATTCCACTATCAAGCAGTCCTCCAACATAGTAATCATCATGATAACCAGGCAAGATCTTTCACACGGCTGGTTGAAGGCTTCCCCAAGAAGTCGCCATCTTTCATAGTCCTGTTATGCAAACATTCCACATGCAGACGAGTTGACTTAATAAATCCTTCACCATAGTGGACAGCCTCTCGAGTTTGTACATGCTTTGACTGCCACTACATATAAAGTTTCAACCAACGGCCATCAGCACTTCCATAGATGATGTGTCCAGCACACACCCTCTTACTTTTCCTTAATAGGATGCCAATATGAGGTCTCTAATTGACATATATTCCACAATCAGTGCTATTTTTTCTGTCTCTTGGTGCATGTGCCTCCCCTTGCTACACTATTTTCAGCTTTTGCAATTTCTTTGTCAAGATCCCTCAGATCCTGTTTCCGGTCTTTTAGTTGTCCGAAGGGCCAGGACTAAAACTCACGGAGGCGCAGCCTTTAGTGTGTATGGTCCTCGCCTGTGGAACAGCCTGCCAGAGGATCTGATGACTTCGCAATCAATAAGCAATTTTAAATGAAATCTATAAACGTGCTTTTACATAAGATACTTTTATACTGATTTACTTTAATAGTGTTATTTTTTTGATATGCCTTCGCTAGCAATTTCTTGTAACGCAATTTTGTTTTGTATGGAAATTGTTTTTATTGTTCTTGCGATATAGTCTTAACAATGTTTTATTTAACCTGTACATCACTTTCAATTGCATCTTTTGTACGAAATAGTGCTATAGAAATACAGAATTGATATAAATATAACATATACTGTTGAACATTTTGTGTACACATATACATACATGTGTTCTACTCTGTTAGTCAAAACATGTAAAACAATGTCCTACACAAACAAAGCTGCCGTTGTAAGGGAATTGTCGTCTTGCATTTACGCACCTCCAATTATCTCGGTTGGCTACGTACGGTTAGAAAGAAGTTCAACACACATACATCATTCAATTGCGTTGAGTTGAACATTTAAGATGCATCCAATGGACATCCAATTACAGATTTTATTGAGTCTTGAGTAATAGTTTGTACAGTGCTGCAATTGCCGATGCACCGCACCCACTCCCATAACAAATCCTGGCCCCCAGGCTGCATCAGCATTGTGTGCAATGTTTACCATCGTGGGAACGGTGCCACAGTGTCCACACTAAAACTAAGCCTCGCTAAAAACATCAGCCCTCGCCAGTATGGCACACACATGTGCTCATGTCGTAGGACTGCAAGAGAAGGCGCTGTTCTTTAAACAAAAACACAAGAACTTTAGTTGAGAATGAATGAAAAACCGCACACAGATGGACACAACAAAGCTACAACAGCAAAGTGAAAGAACGCCCTGGGTCAAAGCGACAAAAGAGGGCCGCGTTGACATTTTGTGCATGTTAAAGGCACGATGCCCCCACCCCACCTACTCCAGCTGCGTAGCAGAGACGCGTCCCAGTGTGGAACAGGAAACAGCACAGACTCAGCAAATGGGAATAATCAATTCCCATTCAAAGAAGGTTCGAGAACCCACGGAGCCCACCAAGACTACCGTATGTGATAATCATATTCCCAGTTATATCTCTCGCAAAAGTAACAGTATAATTCTAGATTTGAAGCTTTCGTGACTGCAAGGATTCATACTCTGGCTGTGACGGTCCCACCTGATGACGGAGACTTGTGTTGCCTCCGAAACGTCGTTATTTTTATTTTTTATTAATTTTAATTTCATTTTTTACCTACGTGACTTTACCGAAAGAACTAAGAGTATGAACAGTATAATTGTTATGTTAAAATAAAAACGAACGCACTTGTTACTTTGCCAGTTAACACTACATTTGCAAAGGAGACAACCATGCAACGTATAAGAGAAATCACCACACTTGCATTCGACTGCAAGAGGTCAATGTCTTTCTTCGCCATGAACACCCCAACTTTTGGACAAAGTTTTCCACTCTTCACGATGTCTCGTCACCTCCAAGTTGTGTGCTCCTCCAATATCATCATCCCAACATCTTCCTTCCTTTGCTGTCTACCACTTTCCTTATTTTCCCCATCGACCTACATTCTTTTTTGAAATTTACCCACCGCTTGTGTCCCCGTTAGATGTCCTGGCCAGTTGCATTTCAGTTTATTTAGTTTGTAAATTACACGTAATCATCGTTTTCACTTTCGAATATTCATCTATTATTGTGACCCGTGCTCGTTCTTTGGTTATAAATTGCACTAAAGCCTTAAATGAGGTTAACTTTTAATACCGTGGGGTTTTTTTTACTGTGACCTAGGGTCAAGATTGTCCTGTTTTGATGTTTTAGGTCACTAGACTTCCTGCATGAAACCTCAGTGGCAGTAAAACAAACTTTTAGTTTTGTTTCATGAACCTGTTATCATTAACCTGTTAACAAACTAAAGAAGTAGAAACTTTTGTTAATGTTAAAACATCGAGGAAGAAAAAAAACCCTGACCCTAAAGCGAACGCCCATCATTGTCTCAAATCATGTTTTAAAATTAGACAAATAGCAAAAGTGACATGGGTCTGTCACAAACCAACGACTTAAGACTCAAACCACGCGTATCAAGGTTGTCTCAAATGGGCACATACCACGTTACCGAACAAAGCGATTCCTCAGCAATATTAAAATGAGTGCCATTGGTGATATAATTAAACGTTTATGATTGTTGTATGTTTACATATCAAAACACGTGGCTTACAATCCCTGCATGCTGCTCATAGGCAAGACGCACGAAACCCATCCTTGAACTGCGATCACGACCCAACAACCACTTTTAATAATTCACGCCAGTGTACCATTGTAACGATCTCATTCGATACACGTGACACATTAACGTTGAAGAGTGAATGCAAATGACAATTACTGTACAGTAACTGGTAGGTAGGTAGGTCAAACGTGGGCTCCATGAGACACGTTTTGCGACAAGCGACTCGTATCAAACGCATCTTCAGACACCCTTCAGCAGCAAACCGCTCGTGACATTAAAGCACCAGGTGTACGTGGTTGACGACACTTTAACAAGCTATACATTTGCGATTAAATTGCGTGGCCCTCCTCCATCCAGTTAAAACCCGCACGGCGAATCATCATCATGAGGCCGTGGGCCCGTGCGTGAACCACTACTCACAGCGATACGCCTGCAGAATGACAACTCCTCCAGCAAACTCCACACCGCGCGCCTTATCAACCCGACGTTGTACTTCTTAATTTGCTGCGTCTTATTTGTTGATGTATTTTTTTTAAAAACCTTAAAGCGAAAGCCGCAAACGCCGATGCCTCCGCCGCCTCCGCACCACCAACGAGTTTAGTCGGCGTACACGCCGTATTGTAAATCGTAGTCCGCATAGACACGAGGAGACGAGGCGTTCCGTGAGCGACGCCGCCCTCTGATTGGTCAACGCTCAGCACCCCCCCCCCCTACCCCCCCCCGCGAGGGACGGAAGCGCGCGCCTGATTGGTCCACGCCTAATCCGCGCTAGGAAATCTAACTCAATGGGGCGGGGGGTGTGGGGGGTGGGTGGACGTCGCGAGCCCCTCCCCCCCATCCCCTCTCGCGAATCTTCCAGAAGAAGAAGACGACGACCAAAAAAACGCGCGCGCGCTTTGAACTTGGAATCGATTCCCTACACCGCTTACTCACCCACTCGACCAACGTGGGGGTTCTATGAGGAACGGCGGAATCGAAAGGCGGTTTCGATTTGTTATCGATTTTAAATGTCGATTCCGATTCGATGACGTAAGCGTAAATAGAACCCCGAAAGGGGACTGTGCCCCGGTTTGTACAGTGGCGTTGGCGTCGGTAGCGAGTAAAATTAACGTAATTAGCCTTTCTAATAATTGCGATAAAGCCAACATCTAACGTGTGACACTATTAAAATGCGCGCGAACTGTAAGTCATCATCCTCGATCGATTGATCGGTTGTCGGGTGCTTGGGAAGGTGACGGAAACTCCACGTGCCGTGTCCCTGTAAAACAACATTGATATTTATTTTGATTTAAAGCTTTCGTGACTGCAGGGATTCATATTCTTGGTTATTTAGGTAAAGTAGTCACGTAGAAGGGAAATAATAAAATAATATAAATATAAAACAAAATTCTCACGACGTTTCGGATGATGATTGCTTGTGTTGCAGTCGAAACGTGAGAATTTGTATTTTATATTTTTATAATTTCCCTTCTACGTAACTACTTTACCGAAAGAACCAAGAATATAGATATATATTTTTGTATACGCTTTGTTTTTTTCGGTAAAATTATTTATTTTATACCTACGTGACTATATCGAAAAATACTCTGGTTTTTTCGGTAAAGTCACGTAGGTAAAACAAAATTAAAACTAAATTAAATCACGACGTTTAGGAGGCAACACAAGCCTCCCTCACCAGGTCACGAAAGCTTCAAATCTAGAATTTACCGAAAGAACCAAAGAGTATGGATTCACTAAAGCTTCAGATCAATATTTAGTGTTTTAACAATTATCGTGCGTGCCAGGCTAGCCCCACACATCGCTTTGAACCTTCGTAACAAAAGCGACAAATCGTGACTGCAGTGACTTTAAACTACTTAACATTGTATGTTGAACTTCTTTCGTACCGTACGTTGCTTTAACCGGCGAGATGTTTACTACCTCGCCTGGTGTGCAGGAGGTTGTTTGGTAACGATCACGAAGTTTGCTGTATGTTCTGTCTTTCCCCGTGGTCGTGTCTATAGAGTATTTAGCTGCTATAAAATTTCCACAATATCTGGTGAAATCAAAAAAATTGTTTAGTTTTACCTGTTTAAAATAGTTTAATGGATTGCGTTGATCTCAAAGTTATTTTGAATTTATTAAATAACCACATTGTAATGGTTATCCACACGCACGAGTGGCAGTCATTAAATTGTAAATCTTGAAACCAAAATTTGCCACGAACATCACAATCAGAACTCCAACGTTGTACTCTACTACTATGCTCCCCGCCTTCACCAAACAGTGCGGTGCGACATAGCAAGTTTAAGATCTTCCACACGTGCAATGCAGTGGTGACAAAAGGCCTCCACATGCGTGCATCTACCCCAAGCGCACTGAGGCTGCAATGTCCCCCCACCACCTTTTGTGGCTGTTACTGCCATGGGAAACTGGGGGCATCTCACTCAACAAGTCATGGGCCCTCCCGTAGGTTTACTCGACTTAAAAGATTACGTTTGTAGGTGCATGCCACTTGTCACGACCAGTAGATGAGACATGCCTGAAGAGAGACCACTTAATTTCCTTATGCGCGGTGCTTAAATATCAAGCGACATTGGAGGCATATTACTTGGTTCAACGATTGGAATTATATATTTTAAACACTTCAAGCATAAAGTGTTTGGAGGCTAACCCCTTTTCATGTGAATAAAACCAATCTTCAACCTCTGGGGTCATATTTTGAGGCTCATCTTCAAAAACGTCGTTTATTAAATGTTTCTAGTGATAAGCAGAAGACTCAACTGCAGAGTATTTAGCATAACTTACTCGCCCTGCAACATTTACACGAGTCGGTGATTATCACATTGATGTATTGAAACCCAATTTCTTTAGAACTCCTATTTCTGTTTAGTTTGTTCTTCCCTGCACCTCCGATTATTACGGTTGTCTACGTACGGCGCGAAAGAAGTTCCACATACATAAACGCAGTAGCATACTCGCGTTGAAACGTGCTAATTTGAGAGTACAAAACTGTATTGCTGGAAATATCTTTGAATCTACCGTTCTATGTGTCACACGAGAAAGGGAATTCTGAAGTGCAGCCCAGATCCGTGTTGTTAGCCTCACAGCCTGGGTTTGATGAAGCGCCATACTGTGGGCAATGTGTGTTTGTGTACCTTTTAGATGCAACAATTTAAAAAGTAAATACTTGTACACGGGGAGGGGGGCATGCTTTAGACCTCGTGTTTGTATAACATGGACAGTGCACAAAGCAAACGCACCCAGAAGCCTGCAGTGCCGATGCTGTTTACATTACAATGGACAAAGCGCAAACACGCACAGCAGATGTACCATTGTGATTCAGTATTTGTTCATGGAAGTAATGTAAGTAACGCTTTCTTACAGGGAGGTGTAACAGTTTGTAATTTGCGTGAAAGTCACGATTCCCAAAGCGGGCTTAACCCTAAACATACACTTTGTCTAATATATGGTCAATTCCTAGATTTCTGATGTAGGGAAGTTGTGTTCTTTTCCCTTCTAATCTATTCTGTGATGCTCTTATATACAGAGCTGACATTCGTGCGTCTTGCCATCATTAAGATATTGTGTTGTGCATCAACCAACCAACTATAGTCGTGTCTGTTTTGTTTGCTAACCTTATCCGTCAGCTGAGAAAACTAACCAGCCGTGGAAAGGCATAACCCATGTCTACTTTGTAAGGCATGAAACTGCCAATCTCTGTTGAAAAACTATTTAAGCTTAAAAGAAAATAAAACATCAAAGCATCATTCAACAAGGATCTTCATGGTGGCTAAAACGTTTACTTATGCAAGCAATGTAAATGATTAAAAGTTTACATTTTTTATAATGTTCACTTGTATGTATGAATGAGTTTCTGCCAGGTTTTCACCCTTACGGTTTTTTTTATTTTAGGTGTCAGAAATATGGATGAAGAAAATGCACAGGTGACAGGGCCTGTGGCAGAAAAAGCCAACCGAGTTAAAGATTCACTGCCAAGCCAAGCAAGCTGCCCAATGGAGCAAGCCAATGGACTTCGAGTGACTCCCGAGTCCTCGTCAGACAGAACAAGCCAGGAGTCATTGACCACTGCTGATGACTCTGATGCGGGCCTTGAGCCCTGCATGATCTGGTCACTGATGGAGGCACTGGAGAAGCAGACAGAGCAGATCGGCGTGTCGGCGTGCGGTGCCACCGCCGTGGTGAACATTATGCAGGCGCTCGGAGTCCCGGTGGAGGCCGACATCGCTGAGAGTGCCGTCGGCACGAAGCTACGTGCCAACGAAGCCCCATTAGCGGAGTACCTTCTTTCCCGCAGCGTGGCAGGTCCGTTCAGGCGAATCCACACACTTTAATCCAATCGCAGGCTTAATATAAACGTGGAAGTGACTTGGCATTGTCACCCTAAAGGAAGACATAGCTCAATAAATAAATGTAGGGACACTGACGCTGTTGATGGATCCTCTTGGTCATCTCCTTCCATGGAAATTACCCCTTTTCTCTTTGCAGCTATCCTCGGATAATCGCGAGCAAAAGGGTGCATTTTTCCACCTCTTCTGGGTTATATCTCTTACCCGCAGATAACACGATACATTTTGTAGTTAGAGAAAACCACTTCCGGTAGCATTTTATCTGCAGTAAGCACGGATAATTATCTGTGCTTACTGCAGATAAAATGTTTCAGAGTAGTGACACGACAGTGATACTACGGTGTCAAATACTTAATAGTTTTAAGTCCCTAATAGCGACACTATATTTGTACTACAGATGTTTTCATATTGGATCATCTTTACAAACATTATAGCCTCCCCCTCCAGTATGGACATACGGACATAGCCAATGCAATAACACTTTCAAGCATCGTTGGAAATCTTTAATAAAGTGTTCCACTGATATCGATTAGAACATGCTAACAATGCTAATGTTAGCAGTATCTTCTGTTTCGATTTAAAGCTTTCGTGACTGCAGGGATTCATCTTCTTGGTTCTTTTGACAGACCTGGTTTCACCTGAGGACGGCTGCTTGCGTTGTGGCCGAAACGTCGTGAGAATTATTTTATTATGTTTTATTTTTATTATTTTATTACTTCCCTTCTACGTGACTTTACCGAAAGAACCAAGAGGAGTATCTTCTGTGTTGCTCTTATCGTTTGGGTATCACAAATATATGACCGCATTTGTTTCTGTCTCCGCCACTTCGGCGTTTGCAGGCGCGACGCACGAGCAGCTGCTGGTGGGCGCGCACGAAGCATCGCGTGGCCACGTACTCGGCAGGTTTTTCCACATGTACCCGGCACGCGCGGTGCCGCTGGCGCACTGGCTGCGGCACTGGGTGAGACGCGGCGCCGTGCCCGTCGTCACCATGAACATGCAGGTGGCTGTGCCACCCGGAGAAGGAGGTGCCAGATGCCTGGCACCACCAGATGGTGTTCGGAAGTCGGCAGAGAGGGCATCTACATGGCCAACCCCTTGGACTTTGGTAGGTCATCTGTGAGCATCGAACCCCATGCCACCCACACATACGTGCAGTACCATGTAGGCATGTAGGGAATAACCCCACCAGTGATTTGAGTAAGGGTCACAATTTAGGCTGGCGATGTGATTTAAGAATCAAGTTGTTTGGTCTCACCGTCTCGTTTATGTTGAGTCCTGTTTTTTCTCTGTCTCATTTGCACAGTTGTCTTCCCTACATTAGCCTAAATGTAGCAATTGCATATCATTTGCACATTGTATACAAATTGTAAAAGATCAGTTCTGAAATTAACAACTTGATAAATGTATGAGTGTAATAATATTTTTTTATTGAAGAGTTAATGCTTCATTATATACCTAATATATTGACATTCATTTTATCTGACCCTGTTATCAGCACTTCCTATTACCTGTGTACTTCTTCATTGGTTCTTTCGGTAAAGTCACGTGACTTTACCGTGATTTTACCGAAAGAACCAAGAAGACTGAATCCCTGCAGTCACGAAAGCTTTGAATCGAAATTTACCTGTGTACTTCGTCCAATGTTTCTTCCTGTCCGAGCCATCGAGCGGATAAGACAAAGTCACGTGAGAGTATCGGCAAATCCTTCCTATAACCAGTGCTCGAGTGCTTAAATAATAAATATGCCCACTGTTTTGTACAGATACATTATCGAGTAGACCCTATATCGATCCAATTGTTTTGTATATATTAGTTGCATTAGGTACGCTTTTCATCCTTATAAACCTTCGTTTTATTTTCCTTATTACCATTGTCTTGTACTGTTTTTATTGCTCCTTTTTTTCCAAACTCATGCGGATACTTAGTGTGTAAACACTCATGATTCTATTATATTTGGCCATATGGTGCACTTAATAGAATACACATTTCACAATTAGAGATTGGTAGTTCATTTTCTCTTGGGTCAATGAAATTTAACATTGTCATGCCTGCCATATGAATGTGGAATTCCTACCATCGGCTTAGGACTATGAATGGGATAGAATTTCCACCATATGCCCATTTGAGCAGGAAACCACTTTGATTTGTTTTGAATTTCATTTTTTTATTTACATGCAGGAAATACCCGGCGTTGCCCGGGTACTTGTGAATGTAGAGTGGCCCAATCACTGTATTCAGAAGGAGGGGTCAATGGCGTTACAGCCACTGTGAATATTTTTCTGTGCCAAAATGGGGAACGAAATTATATAACGAAGCTTTTTTTTTGAAGTGTGAATGATGCCGTTTGTTTGTCTCGCACCGAAAGATGGGCGTGCTCAAGGAGGTTGACCTTTCATTGAGATCATCAACGGTTTTTTGGTGGTGTAATCAACGGCAATTTTACATACATTTTATGAGGGGGTCATTATGTAACTGTTAGATGTGCAGGACCAGGTTAATATGTGCTGGGTTATGGATGGTGATGTCATTGGGAGCGTGTGGGTGCCTCCGGGCCCCCCTATATAAAATGTCGGCTCGCCATGTAGCTAAGGTTTCCGGCGGGGTTTTAATAGGTAACCCTGCCAAGTTTGGTGGCGATAGCTTTAACGGTCTGGATTTGTATTTGGAACAGACAGACGGGCTTTCATTTATATATATTATTACTCTTATTTATCCAGGAAAAATACTCACTGAGTATCATAACTCTCTAATAGGAGGATCCTGATATTTTTTTGCAGTAGTGAGCAACGATTGTAGGTACACTCAAACTTTGCTCATCGCGGATTTGACAATTCGTGCCCCTGGATTCGAACCTGAACATCTGCAACGATTGTTGAACACTACCATGAGGCCATGTCGTTGCCCAAACATAAACTAGTTTTTCTATCATTACATAACATCAATTTTGATCGTTCATCACTCACATAAACCAAGAATTATCTAAAGGCAATGAGTATTATTCTATTGTAATTAAAAGGCCATTGACAAAGAGAATGTAACATGGTGAAAAGTGCACAATGAAACATGGAGAGTTACATGCATGGCAATACACTGAGAGATAGGAAGATGAACACATGGATCAATGAACATATGCAAGTTAGACATTTTACTTTTAAGAAAGGTAAGTGTGCTTTTGGCAGAACGTCTCGTGGCAAGAGGGAATGATGGGTGGTTGTTAGGACTACATCAGTGTGGCAGCCAATATAGTGATATGCTCGCGAGGACATCGCTGCTGAGATGGAGCGATGGAATCAGCTTCTATTTATCAAACGGCTGTCAGAGATGGCAAAGGCTTGGGTAGGTGGGCTTCATCCAGCAGTGAATTGTTTTTGGCTGATGAATATGATGTCTAACAATAAAGACAAAAGTCCACCCCATTCTTTATGTCTGTGTATCTGTTGGAGCATACTACACGGTGACTGATTTTAATGTTCGTTAGTTATAGATAATCGAGTCTGAAGATGATTGTCAAATTACCAATAATGGCTTCGCAACCCTACACAGGACGCAGTACGTCACTCTGTTCTCTCCTGTTGCTGCGCATCGGCACACGCAGTGGGCACAGCGGTGCTGAGCCAGCGCCTGAGCAGCCCCTCGGAGCTGCTGGTGCGTCGCGAGGACGTGGAGGCACGCGTGGCCGGGGGCAGTGGCACCATCGCACGCCTGGAGGACGACCCGCGCTGGCACGAGCTTCACGTCGCTGGTGAGACAACAACAACAACATAAACCGCCATTTGCCAATAAGTGTCGGTGACGTCGCTATTAAGTGTCGGTAATGTCACCACGGCCTTGTGTCAGGCTATGTGCACTTTAAGGCCACGTGAAGTGTCATATGCCCTGCTGGCAGGAGGGGGTCACGGGACGGACAAGGGCAACACCACTCGTCTCGGAGCCGATCAACACTTGCTGACCTTTACACAATTATCCCCACTTCTATCCCCAGGATCCAGGCAGCCACCTGTGATTAAACTGGGTTCTCTAGTGTATCATGACTGGACAAATTCAATTTGTTTCTGCGCTTCATTGGGCTAAATTCCAGTTCTTGGGATATAAAATATTTGAGTGTAATGCAATGAACATTACTGTCATTGGCTGGATATTTGTTAAAATGCTGTCCTTTGTTGTGTAAGCTGGAGGTCACTGAAATTGATATCCACTTCCGTGGGTCATTCTCTAACACAAGGGGTTGCATTGCTCTTTGCGAGAGACATGGATCAGGATAACATTGGGGATACATTCCCAAAACATCTCTTCTCACCCCACGGCCTTCCACTGTGGTTTGTAGGTTCTGTGCGTGTGACCCTGGTGGGACAGTACAAAAACCCTTATCATCATTAAGCAGCAGATGGTGGTATATTGTTTGTGCAGACAAAAAATGCAATACTATGCATTTTTTTACTATTCATCGAATCCTAAAAGCAAATTCAAGCGAGGTTACATTATCTTGCTTTGTACAACTTTCCACGGAAAATGGTGTTCCTGTTTCTCTAGCGGTGTTTTGTGTTTGTTCCACATCTGCATTGCAAATAGGATTATTGTCTCAATAGGCTCCCACCTGTGCTTAGGCAGGGCATGAATGGAAAGGAATGCCATCAATAATTGGAGGAAAATAAAATATCTTTGACAGTTTTTTAATGAAATTAAATGCACACTAATTATAATGGGCTCATAAAACGTATTGTGTCCTTGAACTAAAATATGGAATTTAAACGCTAAACGATAACCTCAATGTGTGCTTAAATTCAGCTTTACAGTCAAAGTTTGAATAAGTAATTAACTTTAGAGAGGACGTCCTTGGTAAGACTTGCTTACCCACACACACACATATTCTAAGATAACCCATGCTTGCTTCATATGATGCATCATCTGCCCACAGATGGCCGCAACATGAACTTCATAATATTCTTTTTTCATCCGCTTAATCTGCCTTCTCTCAACAAAAGCCGACTTCCTGGATAATTTAACTGTTGTGGAAGTTGTGTTTTTAAATGACACTGGCTTGATGTTCTGTGAAAACATAATTGTTTACATATGCAGCCTGTTTGCACGTGTACGTAGGTGTAACGCTAAGTGAACGTTGCCATACGTACATGAGCGAGTGGACATAGCTTCGTACAGGGTGCCAGTATGGTTTAACACAGTAGGCATTCGCGACAAATATCGATAATAAATGTTTTTTTTAGGGTTACATTGCATAAATTTAAATGTGTCGTTAACCCACCACCATCCAGCATAGCCAATTAGTAGGTTTGTCACGTAAACAGAACGTGCCAATTAGTGACTACGTTAGCACACCGGTGTATTGGAGAGTAAACCCAGAACATTTACAATTTGAGTACGACGCTTCGCTGGTGATCGCAACCAGCTTTCATCAGGCGATTTGCCAGAATTGTGAAGAAGTCTTCCTGTTTCGGTCTTAAATCCCTTCCACCATTCTCTTTCTTCCCGCACTCCCCATCCAGAACAAGTGGAGCGCATGCTGTGTGCACAGAGTGCCCTCGGCGAGGGCCAAGACCTTCTGACGACAGCAGCACCCACGCACATCACCATACCAGCCGCCTACAAGTCGGGCGTGACGCTGTTCGTGCCGTGCGACTCTCCTGTCGCCGCCGAGCTCCTCGCCGAACCAGAGCTTCCCCTGCTTTAGCGGGGACTCGGCGACTCAACGATGTCCCACGTGATGCTCAGGGTGGTGAACGACCACCGCCGTCATCGTCATCATCATCACTTCATATTTACACACCACACCTCCCGTGCAGTACATAATGAGGTGCCCTGCGGTAGGGAACCCCCAGTAGCAGTTGCCCCTATGCAGCAGATGGTGACAGCAGCACCGGCCATCATAGTGTAAATTAGTCTGCCAGTTGCCATGAGGCTTCCGAATTTAGCAATTTTCAAGTAATGTATACAATTTTAGATGACGCAAGCACACACGTGTCTATATATTTAACTTATTTCGCACCGTACGTAGCCAACCTTGCTAACGGAGGTGCATGGCCTACTCTTGATGTCACGGGATCTTTAACGTACACTTTGAAGCAGAGCGCACTGTGAAGTAGGCCTGAGCCAGGGTGGCCACTAAGCTTGATCCATGAAACTGCTGCTACAAGCAGCAAAACGCCCTACCACTCATGCATGTCACCACGCAATTGATACAAGCCAGAGTGATGGACCTCAGCTGTGATGCTGAGCTGGGATGATCATTTGGGTCTTTGAAAAATGTCTTATTACTTCCACATATATATAAATTCCACCGTTGGCATGTCAGGAGATTAATGTTTGCACTCTGCCCTTCATAGAGTGTTCCATCGTAGTCAAAACCAAAATCAAACCAAAATATACCAAATTATAGTAAATAACCAAGTTAAATATATACATTTTGTGTAAAAAAATTGTCATTCAGGCTGAGACCATAAAAATAATAAAATCAATTTAAAATTAAAAAAAATTGAAAATAATTAAAAAACATTTATAATTAGATTTTTTCTTTTCTATCTACGTGACTTTACCGAAATAGCCAAGAATATGAATTCCTGCAGTCACAAAAGTTTTAAGTCAAAATTTGAAACCATAAGCTCACGGGTGACTTATCCCACATTCAAACCCAGCATCTAAGAGGTGCCAACTCGGTGCGGAGCCGCTCGGCCTCCTGCGGCTTGGGATTTATCTGAGTGAAGAAAGTAAAATACCAGGCCATAAATTTCGATTTAAAGCTTTCGTGACTGCAGGGATTTATCTTCTTGGTTCTTTCGGTAAAGTCACGTAGAATGGAAATAATAAATAATAAAAATAAAACATAATAAAATTATTCTCACGACGTTTCGGCCACAACGCAAGCAGCCGTCCTCAGGTGGAGAACAGCTTAAATAGACGCTCCAAGCCTGGGGTGTGTCATTCAGACTCTGTCTTCTCGACAGACCTGTTCTCCACCTGAGGACGGCTGCTTGCATTGTGGCCGAAACGTCGTGAGAATTATTTTATTAGGTTTTATTTTTATTATTTTATTATTTCCATTCTACGTGACTTTACCGAAAGAACCAAGAAGATACCAGGCCATCTCGGACTGTTCCAGTTTTTCATTCCATTTTGAGCCAAAGATCTTGAGATTCATGAGAATTTGTGCATTATTACAAGCCCCGGCTTCTGAACATTTCACACAAAAAGCAACAATAAAATAAACTTTTTTTCGATCTAAAGCTTTCGTGACTGCAGGGATTCATCTTGGTTCTTTCGGTAAAGTCACGTAGAATGGAAATAATAAAATAATAAAACATAATAAATTACATTTTCACGACGTTTCGGCCACAACACAAGCAGCCGTCCTCAGGTGGAGAACAGGTCTGTCTAGAAGACAGACCACCTGAGGACGGCTGCTTGCGTTGTGGCCGAAACGTCGTGAGAATTTAATTATGTTTTATTTTTTTATTTTATTCTTTCCATTCTACGTGACTTTACCGAAAGAACCAAGAAATAAAAGAAACCCCTACAAATGTGAAATTCACCCTTTCCATCTAGATCTACCCTTGGGAGTGTTGGGGCAAGTGCTTTAACACACGCTGGGATGGTGGAGCCAGCATCCTAAATTGTTTCTCAAATTAAATGTATCAGGGCTGTCTGGATTAAGTAATTGCTGCTCAGCGTTATGACGCAGTTTTAGCTCCTTGATGCCACACGGCCATCCCCTGGTCAAGACTTGGGCTTGTGGAGAATTGCAATTTCTGCACAGCATGTGTATAGATTGCATGTTCTCTTGTTTGCATGCAATTTTTGTTCTAATACATTGGCAGTGATGCATACGCATCGAGAAAAAAACGCAATGCATATGTCAATCACGCTGCCCTAATACAATATATACTGTGTTATATATGGGTGATGTTTTGGGCATGATGGGCGATTTTTTATTTTCTGGTAGAGCTATTGACATTTGTCTTGTTTGGATGTGTATTGTTTTGGAACACCAGTTTCTTTTCACATCCCAAACATGACCCGACTGAAAAGTATCTCTGTTGGTTCACTGCGGCTTTTGCTTACTGAAGATTCAACGAGTTAATTGATTCATCAAATGTGTCACGATATTCAGTGCACTGATACCAGTAGCAGAGTGCAAAATCCTGAGCGTTTTAACATCGCCATTAACTATTGGTGCCTTAACATGTGTGGTGCATAAAGGATAGTGCCTTTAAAAATACCTGATCTTAAATGCACTTAAGCATTGTAAATATGAAAAATAAATGTCAATTCAATTGTATACCAATATATTTGTATACACCATTAGCTATTTCTCTGCACGCCAGAGTCATTTAAATGATCGTGACAGACTGGCTATAAAGATGACACGACAATGAGATTAGACACATCTGTCAACTTAATTTATTATTCTCAGACTAAAAACGGTGCTTGCGTTAACAGCGCACTGTAGATGCAAGATGCAGCACAGGGTATGATTCTTTACTAGGACTTCAACGCAGGATTAAACACAGTGAAATCAACACACGGCAAACAAACATACCAACAGTGTAAATGCTGCTCCGATATGTTAAAATAAAGATTATTATTTGTAAAAGGATTGAACAACTGGAAATGATTTGTACTCATGTGGGAAGGGTTTTGTGTTAATAGACAATCCAAGCAGTTTTCTATAGGAACCGAGTACAATATACTAGGACCTCGAAGATCGTTAACATTTACACACTTCAAAAACGCACAACGCCACAAACACGTTGAATAATTGTGTGCCTAAAATATAATAAGGTATCTCCTTTTTTCGTCTCTCCCCCCTTTTTTTTGTACGGTGGTCAAAAATAAGTCACATAGCAACACAAACCTTAGCTATTCAGCGCACTTTGAACGAGCCCAGGCAGCACTGGAACTGCACAGCCGGTCGTGGCATCATGATCTAAAGCTCAGAGATGCCCAAACCTGCTTTGAACCTTAGAGAGACCGGTAAACCACAGCTGAGAAATTGGAGCCATCTCCCAGAAAGGAAGGGGGATTGTGTCATGGTCATTGGTGAGCTACAAACAAGCAATCCCCGTAGTCTTGGCACGGCAGGTCCGGCCTTTGGTGCCAAAAAGATGTCTCTCTCTGGGAGTGGGAAAATCCAGCTACAGCCACGGGTGACGCAGAGGCGAGCAATTGCCAATCTATAGAAGCGAGTTTTCACTTTCTAAGAACACGTTTCACCTGGAGTTGTGAATGTACGGTATTGTCAAATTCAACAACACCAACAAAAATGAACCACCCCCCCCCCCCCCAAACATGTAATGATGGGCTTCTCTGAAGAATACCCACTCCTGTGCTGCTTGTTTAAGTTCTGTGATAGTACATAGAGGCGTCGGGATGTTCACACGGCAGTGCACCATCTAGAAGTGGAGGACTGTTTGCTATTGTCTATTTCTGTATTGAGGCCAGGTGGGGGCCCATAGAGGTGTAACATCAAGTCTCAGAATCCTCAATGTCCAGTACGTTGCTGTGTTCACTCCCACTCCTGCCAAGATTAACCGATACCTTTTGGGGATTTGTTTTGTCAAATGGGAAGTGAATGGATGTATTGGTTGCGTGCCTGTAAATGCAATAGAACCTGCTTAATGTCTTGCCAGTCTGTTGTTTAACAAAAATAATGCAACTTGAAGGCCTGTTTGCAATCACTTTGGTTTAACTCCTTGTAACGGTGGCCGTGCAGTGCCCTTTGGAATATCTGACCAAGTACGCAAGGTTAAGCAGATTCCGCTCTGTGGAGCGCGAGTTTGTGCTGAAGACTGGCCTGTGTGCCTTTAAGTGCTGTGTGTGTGTGTTGTCTCCCATATGTTCTGTGTGTGTGTCGTGGTGAATGCCAGTGATCGCTGTTCATGGTGCGTGTGACAATGTGCTTGTGCCTGTTGGTGAGCGGCTGACTTGCTCGTCAGTGTGTGTTGGCTCAAACTGTCGCACCCCTTTAATATATGATGAATGCATTTGAATGCATGTGTGTGTGTGTATATGTATTGTGCTTGTGTGTTGCTGTACATGGGTGCATGTTGTATGCATGTCATTCATGTCCGGATTGCGTTATTGCGTGTCTGCAAACATCGCTAAATGCGTGGTGTGTGTGTGCATGCTGGCGCCATGCTGTGTTGACTGGTTATGGGTCTGCTGTGTGTTATGATTCAGGTGTTAGTGTGCACGGCAGCGGCTTCATAAGGACTCGACACACAGGACCATCTCCAGGTCATTGCGGTAGAGCTTCCCGTGGTCGGAGAGTGCCATTATGTTCCGCTTGTAGCTTGTTAGTGTCTGGGCGTCCAGATCCTAATGAAAACACATTTAACAATCAAACACTGCGCTTTTGAGAACTTCATCTTATGTCACTGTAACAAGGATGTTGAGCTGCATTATCTTTGGCAAGTAAGATTTGGTCAACTAGTTTCCCAAATGTTTTATTTTTCACAATTTCAAACTGTACAGCCATATTGTCAATCCCCGACTGGATTAAGGCCTTCCCATACCATGTCAGTCATAGGGGTCATTTGACCATAAGGGCCGTCCATAAATGACGTCACGCGATTTTGGAAGATTTTTGACCCCCCCCCCCCCCCTCGTCACACGGCGTCACAAAAAGTCAGACCCCCCCCCCCTCAAATATGACGTCACAAAGCTCTGCCCCCCCCCCCCCCCAGAAAAATATAAAACATGCTTCAAATCGCTTTAAACTATTGTCATTGGTAGTGCGTATTCAATGTGGCGATGCACTCTGATGTTGTAGGAGAAAACATTTTTTAAAAGTCTATTTAATTAAGTAGAACGTGTTGTCTATATTTATTTAAAGTTGCACATTTTTACGTGACATCACATTTCTCACCCCCCCCCCTCGTCACAAATGTCTGACCCCCCCCCCCACTAGGTGCGTGACGTCATTTATGGACGGCGGCCCCATACTTCATCACAATAGTCCGGGTTGGTGAAGGGAGCCTCCAAGAGTAGGAGAGAAATTACTCGCGTTTGATGTTTGCCGTGGCCTGGAATCCAACTCGGGTTCATAGGTTCATTGTGCAGTGCGCGAACAACTGCCAGAGGCACTACCCCCTTTGTCCATTTAGCTGGAGGTGATTTTTAAATCCTTTATATTAAGTTCGCTTGCTTGCTTAGGACCGTGCAAATCTTTCGGTCGTGTTTTAACCCACTTCCCGTGACAATTAATGTTCGTGAAAAAAAAATCCAAAATTTTACACTTTTTAGGACAAAAATATATTTAATTACCAATTTCTTAATGGTGCAATGCAATCATCTGACCCATAGGTGGCAGCCATCTCAAGCCAGAGGACGAGAGGACTCTAGCCGCCACGCATATAAGTATTTATAGTGAAAAACTTTTTTTTACGGGTTATACTTATTCACATTTTGCATTTGAGCAATAGAACCGGAACAGGATTGATTACCCTTGCCAATTATTATGCCAGAGGATCTTGAATTTTTTTCCCAGCAGGTGGCACGCTTTGGTCACTAGGCACAAGAATTGTATAACTTTGCAATTACTGAACCATCAACTCCCTGTAAAATGGTCCATTGGAAAGTATTCTGAGCACTGTGCTTGCCCAGTTGAGTAAACAGTAACAAGGTTTCCAATGAAATGTGTTGCTTAAAATTGCCATTTATTACACCAAAAGAATAATTGGAAAGGCAATTAGAGGTATAAGTGGATACTTCAGAATGCATTACCTACTCGAGACCAGTACAAAAGTGTGTGGATAAATTAATACCGTTTCAGAGAATTGCATTTTAGATTAAGTTATTGTCAAAGAAAGGCGTGAAACGCCACGTGAAACGTCCCATGCAATCACAGCTCTTATCGGCAACGGCACTAAATCATTGCATTCAGAGAGCGACAAATCACGATTTTGAAGAAAAAAAAAGTTTCTCAACAAAAACGTCACCGTTGCGTTCGCACCGCGACTTTCGAGATTGCCACTGGTCCTCTCCTAGGTCGACTCAGCCTCAGATGAGTACCTGGTGAGATGTGTAAACATCGTCACTAGGGAGACAAAGTTCGACCGGGCGTGGTGTTGGCCACCCAGCCCCTCGTGTGCCGTGCCGGCCTTCGTAGGTGCTCGCTAACAGCACTTTCTCCAATAGTCTGTGCAAGACCCTACAGTCTGTGAAGGCTACACGGGGGATCTTTGTACCTTCCTGTTCTTCTCGTGAAGGTCCCGCAGAAGAGCCTCGAGTTCGTCCTCATCGATGTATCCGTTTCTGTCCTGCAAATTAGCCACGATTGCACATTGTGTCGGCGTTGTCGATATCGCACGTGTTATGGATATCGTTTATTGTTAAATTTGAATCACAGTTCCTGTGATCGCTGTTACATTGTTTTTGTAGATTTATTTTGGTGACTTTTGAAAACGTTTTGGTTTAGCCACGTTTGTTTGTTTTAGTACAGAGTTGGCCTGATAACTTTAATCTACATTCTCTTATGGTTGTTATTGTTTGACTTGCATCCCACTGGGATTGTTTGCACACAGCGTTGAAATGCGTTTTTTTTCCTGGAAGAGTTTGCTGTTTTTCCCCAGAATTTTTCTGTTGCGTGTAGCCACTTTAAGATGTTTCTCGTTCATGTTTTTGTTTTGTTGCGGTCGCACCCGAGTCAAGAGCCGCATGGCTCACAGGGCTATACATAATAAATGAAACTGAACTCAATGTCCGGCCGTCGGCGTGACGTTTCATCGGGATGCAGGCGGGTTTTTTTTTATTCCAATTGTTTAGTTTCACATGCGCAGGGCTTAATTGGGATATCGGAGCATCCCCCCCAGCGATGACCCCCAGTGCCACTGTAAACACTCCGTGTAATTGCTGCACATACGTGTTAACGATGTAACGGCTTACACGCGAGTAAATTGTTCTGTTTATTACAAAATCTATGGTGCACGTAATGAGGTTGTAATTGCTGCACACTACGCAACGCATCCCCCTTATGCATTAATGGGAAAAAATACAAAATAGTTAACCCCCCACTGTCCCCAAATATGTGTGGAAAACTTTGCATTTATTCTCACAGCAGTCGTATAAATCATAGCAGTCCACCGCAGTGGTCGTGATGCATAATCGGGGTATTATGCAAGTATGCTCTGTGCTTAATTTCAGCCGGAACACAGCGGCCGGAAATTATGTTTGGCACTCCACATCCATCTCGCCTTATTTTGTCCTTCGTGATGCTGCGTCTCATTTTTTATAAACCTGCTTATGGGATTATGGGAATATAGGCAGATACAATCATATTGGAATTATTATGGAATAGGTGGTATCTAGTACTCTATAGTGACAGTGTCTCATGGCGACAATCCCTCCTGCTAGCCAGCCAGCCAGCATAGCAGCGTTTGGGGAAATATCAGGTGAGAGAGTTTCTCTCTTGAAGAACAAAATGCACTTGTGAATAAAAGTGATCATCATCATCGTCGTCGTCGTCTTTCTTTGCTTCCCGGTACAACACGAAGGGTTTTGGGGCTGACTGCAGTCACGTTGCTATGCTGCAGTGGTAGCTGTCTTGCCTGCTGGCCTTATGGGAAATGTCGCCTTGCACGCAATCACACACACACACAATATTTTCATTGCATTACAGTACATGTATATACGTGTTGCAATGGTCGCGTTGGTAATCTGCAACACCTGACCACTGAACCGAAGTGCTGGTGCGTGGTTGTGCTCGTAAACAAACGCGGAGATCGACATAAATGTGGCTGCTATATGGTGACAAAACTGCAATCACTGCATTCACTGAAGGAGCATATATATTAATTCAGAGCACAGGCGTATTGTGCAATTTGCGCCGCTCAGTTCTAATGATCCCGATATGAATTATAAAGGGGCAGGATATTGGAATTGCAGTCAAATTGTGAGGTGGCATGGCAACGGCTGAACGTCTGCATATGACCCAGCCTTTCCCAGCATGACCGGGCAACTGTGACACACACGGGGACTCACCTTGTCGTAAAACGTAAAGATGTCGTTGAATTCTTTTGCTGTCATTGTTACGCCCTGCAATAGATTTCACGTCGTTTCAAAATGCTTCGTTAAAAAAAAACGAGCTGCGACGTTGCATTGATGACGACCGGCAGAAACTCAATACAATTCGGATTTAGAAAATTTGATTTCCACGTTTATTTACAGATATCGATTTAACGAATATATAACAATAAACATTTTTGCCACGCGTGTTTAGCCGGGTGCAGCGGAACATAAATGTAATGCAGCACTTTGGAGGCGATGGGTTGGTCCATCGCACTAACATTTGTGCGAATCCAGAACTCACTGGGCTGTCAATCCATCTGTGCAGAGTTTTGAGTGTTATTCCCTCGAGTTTTCTCCAGCTACGCTGTTTTCCTCCCACGGGCCATTAATGGAATTTGCCAAACATCCCAAAGCAGCACCATCTTGAGCCTTTCGAGACTCAAGCTTTTCTCGATAAACAAAGGTAATCATTATTATTGTTGTTTAGATTATGAACGGGTTCATAAGTTTGTTACGTGTTCAGTGGAGTATAAAGTCAAACACTGGTCCTTTTTATAAATTGTCATCATAACCAGTCATCTTCTGTCCACTGCTGAATGGAATCTGTCATGGCCATCATCTATGTATTGTTTCAGTTTTAATCCTGAGATCTGACGAGTTCGGTCACGTTCCAGATTTATGTGGTCGTAGGCCCACAACCAATTAGTTCAGAGATCACTGTCAACAAAGGTTCAGATGTTGCACTCACCTGGAACTTTAGCAGGAAGTTCTCCTGCACCGGCAGAAGTCTGCAATGATAACGAAGAAGGAAATTCAAGTCACGTTGTTGTTCGTGTATGTTTATTGTGCGTGTCGCCAAGTGAAATATGCATTTCACGATATGCATGTTCCTTATTTCCATTTTTTGTAACGGCAATGGTACTAGAGTGACATCGAACTGACTCTTGTTCATGTGGCAGTGCTTAAGATTAAATACCTTTTTTTAATCCCAAATTTAACCGAATAGTACTTTTGGTGTCATGAGATATCACGTATCAAAGCGATGCAACCCCAATGCATCAAGAGTGGCCTACAGAGGGAGATATCATAGAACTACTTGAAAATTAAATTCAAGTGACCGTTTTGAAGTTTGTTGCGCGGAATTTTTGCAGAGCTCTATTCATCCACATGGAAGCACTGTTCACAACTAAATGTTACGTGAACGGTTTGTTGCGGAGTCATTGGTAACCAGGTTGAGACCATCAACTCGATACAGTTGAGAACCCAATATAGTCACGGGAGCGAGCCGAAATCCCGATTCGAGCCCACGAATTTCAGAGTTGCCGGCTCAGTGTCCCCTGCGCTACGCAGCCACCGCCGGGTGGGCACGATGGGAGTGAAGTGGTATAATACCTGGCCATCTCGGACAGCTCCAGCTTTCCATCCCGGTTGGAGTCAAACATCTTGAGCTGCATGTGAGCGCACGTGTGATTACAATTATTGCAAGCACCGGCGCTGTGGAGAGCTTTGTTCAAGCTCGTTGCCAGCAACAGAACAACATCAATGCGCACACATGGGGAAAATGTCACGCCCTTGTTCCTGGATAGTTCCTTGGGATTGTTGAAACGGATATGAGAGATCACCGAATGACCCTGGCGCACAGCATTGTAGTGTGGAGAGGGGGGGGGGAGATTACCCCCTGATAAAGGCTCAGGGCCCCCCCCCCCTCTTTTTAACTCCTTATCGTCAATTCAATACATTTTGTAATGTTGGTAGAGCCTTTCAGCAAACACATAGCAGATGAGAAACTCGAGCAGAATGCAACACAGACACAAAAAAAATAACAGATCATATCGTAACTATGTTTGGCGTTTAACTTTTGTTCACAGTTTGTTTAACGTTGACTGTGACATTTCCCCAAACTGAGTTTCTAGGAAGCCCAGTCCTCCGCTGAACAGGGTCACGCTACCGGTAGAGATCACAAGCGATATATGTTGGGCGAATCGTAATCGGCGTGCTTTCATGTGTAGTTCTCGTGGCTCGAGATTCTCGCCGACTGGAGGGAATGTCGTGTTGGTCCAACAAAAGTGACACCGTCATTTCTCTCCCAACCGCTCATGCCCTTGTTATGGAGAAGTGAATGGTGTGGATTTTGGGCAGAACCCAGCACAAGAAGAACGGACGGAGAGACAAGAGACGCAATTATCTCCGGAGTTGAGACCCGATAGGAGACGAAAAAAAGCAGAGGCAGACAGCGGAAGAGATGGCAGCAGCGAGGCGACATCACAGAGTTCGGAGGTCACTTCGGGGCAAGAGCAACCAAGGGAAGAAAACAGTGGGAGAAATAGTGGAAGGCCTCTTGTAATGTACGTTGAACTTCTTTCGCACAGTACGTAGCCAACCGTGCGAATCGGAGGCGTGGGGAAAGGAAAACAAACTCAATGTTTGTTGTCCACTGCTGCTACCTAACAGTGGCAATGTACAGACGGCTGATAGACGCCACTGGGCACTTAGGTTGAGTCGACCTGGCGGAGACGTGCAAGGTCCAGATACTGGTGCTGAAGTGTGGCCAGGATTCAGCCGATCCCAGGAATCTGGGAATGGGAGAGCGAGCGCGCTCACTGCCCAAAGCACAACCACCCACACGCGTTCAGTGATGCGCGAATTTTTTTTTCTCGAGGTGCGAATGGAGCAAAGCGACAGGAGAGCGTCTTGCATGGGCCATCGTTCTGGACACTGGCGAATCGCCAGCGCCAAGTCGGATCGGGAGGACAAAGGGGAGGCTTTGAGTGAGCGTACCGTCGTCTGGGTGTACTCGTTGAGCTTCTTTTCGTCAAACTCCCTGTTGGCCTTCTTCAGCAGATCTTTCAAGAAATCCTGTAATAAAAGACAGAGCAACACGAGGCAGCTGGTGATGTAGCCGGCCAGTTGGCAGGGCGGGAGAACGAGTGGCTCGTTCAAATCCTGGTTGGCGGTTGACTATTAACTATTCACTAACTATTTTTTATTATTTTACCAGGTAAGACCCACTGAGTTTTATGGGGGGTTTTTTCAGAAGCGACCTGGCAACAAATGATAGCTCAACGAAGTGGCTTACCGCGTGGGCATTTAAAGCAGCCAAATACTCTAAACGCATGTTGATTCTAAGTTTGGAGGGAAAACCCGGAGGAGAGAGATATACATACAAACTTACACAAAATATACAAAACGCCAGGGTCGGGATCAAACCCACGACCTCCTGCATACGAAGCGAGGGAGTGAACACTTCGCCACCGTGGCACCCCAGCACATCACATTCTGGGGTTGATACAAGAAGTACCGCTTTTGTCGCCCTACGGATAGACATGGCCCTGGTATAGGAATGTGAAATTTCCACCACTCGCTCAGGGCTGTGAACAGTCGCTTATTGCTCGTTTGAGCAAGGAATCTGTTTGCATTTCCCCCCTCGTGTGTGTGTGTTCGGGTCGCTCTGCGTGTTCTTCGAAACGATGTCCAACGTTTTGCGCTGCAGGAAATTGAAGCGTCGAACATCGCGCCGAACAACGGTCGACAGAAGCCGAGAACACGTCGGAGAGTTATACAGCGCCAGCGCAAACCCCGACACACTGGAACCACGCGGCTTGTGTGCGGGGAGTGGGGGGAGCAGGGAATGGGGGGAGCAGGGAGAGGAGCAGAGGGGGGAAGCAGGGGGTGGGGGGAGCAGAGGGTGGGGGGAGCAGAGGGTGGGGGGAGCAGAGGGTGGGGGGAGCAGAGATGGGGAGCAGGGAATGGGAGGAGCAGGGAGTGGGAGAGCAGAGAGGGGGAACAGGGAGTGGGGGAACAGGGAGTGGGGGAACAGGGAGTGGGGGAACAGGGAGTGGGGGAACAGGGAGTGGGGGAACAGGGAGTGGGGGAACAGGGAGTGGGGGAACAGGGAGTGGGGGAACAGGGAGTGGGGGAGCAGGGAGTGGGAACAGGGAGTGGGGGAACAGGGAGTGGGGGAACAGGGAGAGGGAACAGGGAGTGGGGGAACAGGGAGTGGGGGAGCAGGGAGTGGGAACAGGGAGTGGGGGAACGGGAGTGGGGGAACAGGGAGTGGGGGAAACAGGGAGTGGGGGAACAGGGAGTGGGGGAGCAGGAGTGGGGAACAGGGAGTGGGGGAGCAGGGAGGGGGAACAGGGAGTGGGGGAACAGGGAGTGGGGAATCAGGGAGTGGGGGAACAGGGAGTGGGGGAACAGGGAGTGGGGGAACAGGGAGTGGGGGAGCGGGAGAGGGGGGGAACAGGGAGTGGGGGGAACAGGGAGTGGGGGAACAGGGAGTGGGGGGAACAGGGAGTGGGGGAGCAGGGAGTGGGGGAAGTCAGTAGAGTGGAACAGGAGGGGGAACAGGGAGTGGGGGAACAGGGAGTGGGGGAACAGGGAGTGGGGGAGCAGGGAGTGGGGGAGCAGGGAGTGGGGAACAGGGAGTGGGGAACAGGGAGTGGGGGGAACAGGGAGTGGGGGAACAGGGAGTGGGGGAAGCAGGGAGGGGGGGAACAGGGAGTGGGGGAGCAGGGAGTGGGAACAGGGAGTGGGGGAACAGGGAGTGGGGGAACAGGGAGTGGGGGAACAGGGAGTGGGGGAGCAGGGAGCGGGGGAGCAGGGAGGGGGAACAGGGAGTGGGGGAACAGGGAGTGGGGGAACAGGGAGTGGGGGAACAGGGAGTGGGGGAGCAGAGAGGGGGAACAGGGAGTGGGGGGGGGGGGACAGGGAATGGGGGGGGGGAACAGGGAGTGGGGGAGCAGGGAGTGGGGGTGCAGAGAGTGGGGGAGGAACAGGGAGTGGGGGAACAGGGAGTGGGGGAACAGGGAGTGGGGGAACAGGGAGTGGGGGAGCAGAGAGGGGGAACAGGGAGTGGGGGGGGGGCAGGGAATGGGGGGGGGGAACAGGGAGTGGGGGAGCAGGGAGTGGGGGAGCAGGGAGTGGGGGTGCAGAGAGTGGGGGAGGAACAGGGAGTGGGGGAACAGGGAGTGGGGGTGCAGAGAGTGGGGGGAGGAACAGGGAGTGGGGGGGGGGGCAGGGAGTGGGGGGGAGCAGGGAGTGGGGGGAGCATACTGAAATCTCGCAACGAGTGAGATTGTTTGACACTTTAAGAGCCATACTTATTCGAAATAAAATTGAAATACAATATATCTTGATTGGCTCAGGGCATTTTCTTCAGACAGTATAGAATGTGTTTAAGTTAATTGCAGTGGACTGCATTAGGAGGGAGTCAATGTTCCATGCACAACAAGTCGATACGTTATTAATAAAAAAACGCATCATATTTTTATTGCGACGTGTTAAACAATTCATGGCATGCAAGATTAAATTACGAGATCAATACGTTTCAAGCAACAGACATAATTGTTTAATGTTTTGTTATTAACCTTTAAATTAGGTAATATTTGGGACGGTGCATTAAAATAATCCGCAATCATTGACATGCTTGTATTACTCGTGCTCAGAATAAGCGTTCGATCGCGGTCCTCCTTTAACCACACACGTGTTTGCTCGGCTGTTTAAATCTCGGGTGCCGTTAAATAGTTAATGGTAATTCCACCGCTGTTACGTAATTTACTACATAACGACACTCTAATAATAGTGTAATTGTCACAACACAAGGGACTTTAACCCGTACTGGTTCATGAGCACGTACGCCGCGGAGACGGAGAGATATAATATCTCCCCCGTGTGCATGTAGATGATTACATTACAGGATCGTGAGAGGTGGTAGCGGCATGGGGAAGCCTTCATCTAGGAGTGGATTGACTCTGGCTTATGACGCTGAGTGTATCATTTTTATATAAAACTCTATATAGGATACTCTTTACATGCATGCATGTATGTTGAACTTTTTGCGCTCCGTACATAGCCCACCGTGCTAATTGGAGGTGTGAGAGAAGGGCACCAAACTAAATACAAAAAGCAGTTGTAAAGAAATGAGTTTTCAATCTAGATTATTTAAAAGTGCATAGCTCCAGTGGTTTCCTAATATCGGAAGGAAGACCGTTCCAGACGACCACGGAAGCGCATCTGAAAGCGCGTGATACATCCTTAAGCGCGCGACACGCACACGAGGAAATGCATCTGCTTGCGAAGCAGCCAGCTCATTAGATTTGCGAGATTCAATTTAGTCTGGGCCAACTCCACCACCGCGTGTTCTTCCAGGTGAGGCTGCACCACTCAGTGAAGGCATCATTATCGCTTGCTGTATTCCGAGTGCAATATCCCCCCAGCTCAACCCTTAGCGTCTCACCACTTGGCCCGGCTTCGCCAAGAGGAACCCGTTGCTCTGCCGAGCGTGGTGAAATGTGGCTCGCCCAATTTTAACTCTACCTTTTCTCAGTGGGTCATACGGGTATAATTACCCCACCCCCTCCTTCTCTCTCATAGTGAGTATCAGAACAAAGCCTGCGACTGTGAGACCTCATGGTGTGGTGTGCTCGCAAGCCGCCTGCTTGTCAAGGTTGAGGCGTTAACTCTGGCTTGGAAAATCACCGCACTAAAATCATTAGGGGACTGCAGGCAAGAAATGCAGAAATAAAATGAAAACTAAATTATAATTGGGAGCACGTTTCCAAGAAAAACACTGGACATTTGAATTCACTCCACCACTTATTTTTGTTTTTTTTACATTTTTTTGTAATGTTTCGCAACATCTTCTTGGTTCTTTCGGTAAAGTCACGTAGAAGGGAAATAATAACATAATAAAAATAAAACATAATAAAATAATTCTCACAACGTTTCGGAGGCAACACAAGCTTCTGTCTTCAGGTGGAACCGTCACAGCACGATAGCTGCATCATTACTTGATACAGCTATCCACCTGAAGACGGAAGCTTGTGTTGCCTCCGAAACGTCGTGAGAATTATTTTATGATGTTTTATTTTTACTATTTTATTATTTCCCTTCTACGTGACTTTACCGAAAGAACCAAGAAGATGAATCCCTGCAGTCACGAAAGCTTTAAATCGAAATGTTTCGCACACTTTTGTCCCGATTGTATTATCGGTGTCATGTCATGCGAGAGACCCATTTAGGTCTCTTGCAGAGCAGTGCAAACCTTCGCGTCGAATAACAGCCGATAGAAGGTGATCCACGCAGGAGAGGGGCGGCACATTCCCATGCACTCTGCCACATTAATGTTTATCACAGGACATTGAAACTGATCATTTTAATTTTCCGAGGTATAATTTCACCAACGTTAAGTGCACAAGCAAATTAAATGTGATGGGGGTTTTTTTTGTGTGTTGTGCAGTGATGGGTGACAGGGGCTAAGACCGTCAACCGAGCAAAGACCATCATCACCTGGTAAACCCGTTCAGTCACAGGCAGCCGCTTGGATTCTAACCCAGGATCTCAGTGTTGCACCAGCGCATTCATCGCTCTGACCTCTGAACAAACCTGGCCACCTCATCACCACACCACGTCTTAAACACCCCTTTGGGCGCGTGCATGTATGAGCTGTCTACGCCCGTCGAAGCCATCGTACCTTCAGCTCGTTAGCCTCGATGAAGCCACTGCGGTCCGAATCGTACCGCCTCCAAATCTGTGGGTGTAAAGCCACAGCCGTTCGTCAGGGCGACTCCTTCAAATGCGACGCGTCCATCACTTGCCAAACACTCACTGCAGCTGGGGCTTCCACGTGCATGCCCCTCCGTGCCTAAATCCTTGCTCAGCGATGCCAATGCTCGAGTATTCTTTTCTCTCTCCAATCTGGAGCTCGGCATAAAATGAGCCAAATGACCACGTGGTGTGCCCCCCCTCCCCTTAGTTCGGGGGGGGGGGGGTTGCCATCCCTAAAGTCGGCTCGCTTAATCGGGAGTTGTGTCGTTCAAAGGCATACCGTGCACTGTTTACTCGGTTGGTGCAGTGGCATACCAGCCAGTTTTTTTTAATCAAGGTCCCTACCTGGGGAGATCGTTTTGCAGTGTAAGGTCAGAGGAGAGAGGGATTTAATTTAAATATATATATTTTTCTCTTTTGACATTTTGTTGATGTGCAGCAGTAATTCAAATAAATAATAGCTACCGACAAGCGGTGTTTAAAGCTGCGGAACTGAGTCATGGGAGAGGTGCAGCCATGTAATTGGATTGTGCAGTTGTTGTTGTTGTTGTGTTCATGAAGGAGACATTTCGCAGTAGGAGCAAAAACATGCAAATTATCCATTACAAACATGGAGGTATGGCCAATGCACTTTGCAGTTATATTCATTCTCGCAGGGTTAGTGCAAAGATGTAACAAGGCGTTTCGTGTGTCAACTGAAATGCACGCCTCTCAGTTGTGCACTCGTGCCCAAATGTCTCCACGCACAGGGTAAGCAAGATGTTGGGTGGTCACAGAAGCCTCTACGCGTTTTCATGAAATGTGGTTGCGATGCGTGGTCCGCCTCAAACGCCCAGCAGTGTTTAATGCCAGGCACCTCAAAGTCAGATTTCTTTGGACATGAAACGAGAAAACAAGAGACTGAGAATAATGCTTTGACTGGGAAAATTATTAAGCTACAAGACGCCGGGGAAGACAGCAAATTAAGTTAAATAAACAATTTGAACAATTTGCGAAGTTGTCGAGTAATATCATGGACAGAGCTAAATGGAAAGCGATGATGGCCGACAGACATATTTGAGGAGGGACATGGTACATAGTGAGATCTCCAATAGAATCAGAATCTTGATTTAGACTGGGGGAATCCGATGAGCTATGAAGCTTTTTTTCACAAATGTTGGACACTCATCCCCGAGTCCTCATGGCCCATGATTATTCATGATTATTCATGTCTCGAAAGCAGCCTGTTTGCCGCATAAATTCGTGTAAATTATGCATCCGTTCATTTATTCATTCGCAAAGCAGGTAAAATGCACCGCACCATATGCGTCTGTAGATTTGCTGTTTGAAAAATGCGAAAATGGAGATCGTGTACGCTTCACTATTTCCTAAAGGGTTGACCAAATGTATGTCAATATGCGCAAAGAAAATAAATCTTTGGCAGCCACTCACGGCTTTCAGCTCAGTGTAACGGCAAAGGCAGTCATCACAGCGGATTGCAGAATGAGGGAAGCATCTTAGATTATTTTTATTTCCCTTTAATTTCCACCATCATGCCCATAATGAGAATGATTACGACTGTTTAATGAAAATTCTATTGAAATGCTAAATAATATTTGACGTCCATTTTTCCCTCTCCAACCATAAGCATGGCTCTGTATTGTATGTGCTGGCTGTGTAATCATTGAACTCCTTCCCAGAAAATGCAATGAATTTTAATAATTGGGCTTCACTAATTTATTCAATATTTTTTTCACATTTTTTTCCCGTTGTGCTTGCATCGTTTCTTGTTTGTTCCGTCCGCTTTTGGTGAGTTGTATTTAAATGCATCCTCAGGTCTCATCCCCTGAGGAGAGTGGCACGGTGTTGTTGCAGCCTAACTGCCGATACGAGTCAGAATAAGCCCAGCCTGAGGCCGACATTCTCTGCTTCTGCAGCGCCCAGAAGCGCACCCTATCAATTGTAACATATGCATATAATTTATATGAATTGTGGTTCGCTTTCACACGAACTATTCATAAAGAACATGAGCACATGGGTCGGCTTTAATCTCTTTGCTTCATCATTCGCATGGCTGCTGATGTAGACGCAGAGCAATAACTACGATCTCACATCCAGGTGGTCAAGAGAGACCACCGAGTCAGAAGTAGTGGAGGTGTATCGCTGTGGTGTCCCCTTCGTATTTGTGGATCGGGCCATTGCGTCGTTATTTGTTGTACGATCTGTTCTGGATGACCACAGTCCCACACTGGATAGTTTTACATTTTCCATTTGTGCATCAGGTTTCTACAACTGCCATGGTTTGTACGGATGCGGTTTAGAATGGAACATGAGCTTCGTAGAAGATCAAAACCAGGGATCTTTAATCTTCTTCTTGGTTCTTTCGGTAAAGTCACGTAGAAGGGAAGTAATAAAGTAATAAATATAAAACATAATAAAATAATTCTCACGACGTTTCGGCTACAACGCAAGCAGCAGAATGAGACACTGCCAAGCTTGGAGCTTATGAGACACTGCCAAGCTTGGAGCGTATATACATAATATAAGCTCCAAGCTTGGCAGTGTCTCATTCTTCACCTGAAGACGGCTGCTTGCGTTGTAGCTGAAACGTCGTGAGAATTATTTTATTATGTTAAATTTTTATTATTTTATTACTTCCCTTCTACGTGACTTTACCGACAGAACCAAGAAGATGAATCCCTGCAGTCACGAAAGCTTTAAATCGAAATCTTTATTCTTTATAAGACCGTGCTGATTACATGCTGATGAAGTATTCCCTGCTCCATTGAAACAAATTTGATTGCATTTTAAAGGCTTAACCAGGTGCCCTCTGTGCATGCCTCCATGTGCCCTCTGTACGTGTGCCATGGCAGAGCGAATGTCTCCTCACCTCCATGAACTCTGCGCTGGACTTGACGTGCTGCCGGAAAAACAGCAGGAAGTTCTCCTCGGTCGGCAGGATCTGCGCGAGCTGTGGACCCAGAGTTCATCAGGCACACGACTCATTCGTCGACTTATTCGGTCACGATGTTTGCATCTCTACAGCGGTGAGTGAAGAAAGAGGGTAAAGGTGCACGCCCTGCAATTGCTCGCACAGACCACTGTTGGTGGAAGTGCCTCCAACTAAGGGGAGCTCTGGAGGGTATTCGTCTACTCTTCCACAATTTGCCCTTAGTACTAAGCTGAAAACATTCGTGAAGATGCATATCCAATCCATGGGGCATTATTGTAACTCTTTTTATTTGAAATAATTTGCATCCAAGATTGAAGAAATTTGTCCGTTGTTTCCAATAAGATTGTTATAAAAACAGTGAAATCCTTTGGCTCGTTCACGAATCAATTTACAAACGCGCTTTATGTGGTATCGAGTTAAATGTTGACGGTTATATAATGCATTTATGAATTTAAGTGCGATCTCTTTTTTAGCCTCCACTTTTTTTAGCCTCTTCGTACGAGGGCGGTTAATTAATTTGCACACGCATTTGAGAAATGTTATGGTTACAGTGCCGATATGAATAATGAAGCGGCTGCCTTTCAATAAAAGTGAGTGTGCCTGGAGAGAGCTCCTGGATGAAACGCGCAATTAGGCGACAAAGCTTTAGTGCGTGAGAAGCATTGCTTCTGAGGGTGATCTGAAACGCTTTGAACCACAAACAAGCAAAGTGCACAACGATCACACAACAGCAGCCCCCCAACTGGGAGCAGAGAGAAAATGACAACTGGATTTTGCTGGCAAACATCTGCCATCCATTAAATGTCCACTGATGATTTCAATACAAGTCCACTTTTAACATTCAGCTCTCTATGAGTTTATGGCCTAAATAAACCACGATATAATCATGGATATTTTTTTTATTTCTTCTCCAGAATTGCGTCGCTCAGTCTCAAGGTGTTGTTAAGGTGGGTGATGCATTGGAATCTTTGTTAAATTCCTTCTTGACATGTTCTATTAAAAACATAAAATCATACAATTGCGTAATAAAGATGTGGGTTGTCGTGGTTATCGCGCTGCGCTATGAACCTGGCGATCCGAGTTTGATTCCCCGCCACGACTAACATCGGTGGCGAGTGATATGGATGCTGTGGCTTTCTTGGACTTGTATTCAGATTTGAGATTAGTTTTCTTGAATTCATTGTTAATTGTATTCTGTGCCATATTAGCATTCCACATCCGTGTTTATATTTGTGCGCACACACATAAGTGATGTTGTTGTTGTCTAAATGTGAACCACAGAATACGAGGAATTTGGAGAATGAGGTCCTTTAACCTTGCAGCATGCTGGACATAAGAGCTTTTAATATTAATCAATTAAAAATAATATTGCATAAGCAAGGCCGCCTCGGAATGCTCATGCCAGGAATTATGCACGGCAGAATTCTATTATCTAAAAAAGTAAGCAAATAAACAATAACGCTAACTGCTACATACTCGTGTTTTCTTCGCTAATGGGACTCATCTGTAAAGGTCACTAAATTAAAGTGCACAGGTGGAAGCAAATCACACGTAAAACTCACCTCCGCCAACTCGATCCGACCGTCAGAGTTTTGGTCAAATTTCTCCATGAATTCTTTCATGCTCTCCCTGAAGGATTCGGAATCCTATGCAAGGTAAGTGGACAACATGAGAGACACTTCATTCACAAAGCCAGTGCGTGTGTGCGTGCATGTGTGCGTGCATGTGTGCGTGCCCTTGGGCTGTGTGGCTGGGCTATTTGTGAACTTTTTATAGGAAGCATTGCCAAACGTCTATCAATACCGTGTTCTTCACAAATGTTCAGAGGTGGGCCACTTTCGCCGATAACACATTATCAGTGTGAGGACCGCCACACATTTAAAACCATTGGGGTTTGACAGCAGGTTGATGATGGGGGTGGGGGAGGGGGCTGTTTTCACTCTGTGTGTGTTGCCGAGGGCCGCACGTCCGGGGCCGCACTGAAGGCCACCAGGGACCGCCAGTGGCCTGCAGACCACTACCGGAGAGCTAAGATCGAAGGTTGCCGCTCATACAAAATCAGTATGGACAATGCATATTTCAGATGGGTCCACTGGCTTTCCCTGGCCGGCATGGGCCCTGCCACATTGGTTGAAACGGGGCACGCGGTCCAATATCCCCGCGCTTTGTAGCCCAGCGCCTCGGCACCTCTGGCGCATGTGCCCCGGTGCAGATGAACCATCTCCGCACTCAATCGCCAGGCCACTGGGTGGGTCTCCTCAGCACTATTGTGACTGTATTTTTACTCTTTATAAAGAGCTTGTGTCGTTTTACGCTGGCATGCCAACATGCCTGTATGTGATAGTGTTGCCCCCTCGCACACGTGGGTGTTCTCCAGATGCTCTGGTTTCTACCAAGATGTATAAACACTCATTAACTGACTTAAAAATATACATATGCGTAGAGGACGGCAGCCTTGGATAAATGTTGAGCCCGCCGGCTCACCGCTTCGCTGCCTTCCAACTTGTCGGTGGTTCCTCAGCGATTGTGAGATGCAATTTGCATGAACGACGATGCTTCATAATTGTTTTTACATTGTTGTAAAAATATTTTTTATATGGCATTGAAGTACAAGGAATTTATTTTTACATATTTCGTTTCACTAAAAATTCCTGAATCTGTTCAACCTGCTACATTCCCAGCAATACACTTCTAATTTGTTTAACATTCACTACCTATGCATTTACGGTCAAACAGCACGCATGACTGACACAGCATGGGCATATGCCTTCAGGCTTTGTAAATTCAGTGTTATTAATTCATTAAACGCGGAGGTCTATTTGCTGTTAACCTTCAACCTTAATTAGAATCATTACCCATCTCCCTTGTAATCGTGACATGCACGGCGAAAAATTGCACGCACCTTCATAGGAAATGAGAGCAATTATTTATCGCGCTAAATTTGAAATTCCCAATCACTTGCCCATTACGTGAGTATCTGATTTCCCCCCCGCCCCCGTCGCCACGAGGCCCTGTCGTTAGTTAAGCAACACCAGCAGCATGGGACGTACAGAGCGCTGTTTGTGGGGCGACGATTGTCACCTTGCATTGTTGTTGCAATCGCTCGCGGCTTTTGCTGCACAAACACGTCCCTTAGTGTACGTTCAATATACATCAGCTTTCGAAGATGCATTTTTTTAACGAACGTCTATGCAGACAGCGACCGTATGCACTCGGCATCCTGCATCGCAATATGGCCAGGGTGCTCTCACGTCTCAACGCGTTGCCTGCTTCTCCACAATCCAGTGACTCTACAGGTGCAGATTGTGAATGTTGTGGCTTTTGCTCCCCGACACACCGGTGTGCTCTACTCGTAATGCATGGGCATGTTCAGTTTACGTGACAAAACTTACTAACTGCATGGCTGTGTAGGGTGGTGGCGGGTTTCACGACACATTTATATACTTACGCGATCTAACCCCCAAAAACCTCTATTGTGCTAAAGGTGCATCACTGCAATGGTTCAAGCCCCTGCTGGTGGAATGACTTCCGCGAGAGGAAGAGTGCCTCTACATGGTATTTGGCCTACTCTTCCACGCCGGGCCAGTTATCTTAGAAGAGCTGGTAGCACTCACACAATACGACATTTAGGCTTTATACAGAGCGACCCATTATTAGTATTACATATACCCCACTTATTTCTAATGACTCAGTTTCTTCTCAGCAGGTGATTGACTATAGTAAAAGTGACGGCTCTGTATCTTACAGAGGAGCATTAATGTGATCGGTGCATTGATTTAATAAGTGTAATGAGATTGGGGTGATGTGGTGGCGCATTGGTTAGCGCACTGCACTATGAACCCAGCGGCTTGGGTTCGATTGCCTGCCACAGCGAGTGATATCAGAACCAGTCCTGGTATGCCCTCCACCCCTGCAAAAAACTTGCACTTGCCAGCGTGGTGAAGTACGCTTAAAAATACCTCCCAAGAATAAAATGAGACAAACTGCTGTAATAATTTATGTATGCTGACGTTCTTCCGAACCGTACATAGTAAACCGTGCTAATCATAGGTGCGGTGCAAGGACAACAAACTAAACACCAACCTCAATAATATTGAGATAGGTGGAAGACATGTAATGGCTGTTTCATTTCTCCACGATGTTTCAGTGGGGTAACCAGTGGGTGACCTTCTCAAATTCCCCCCCCCCCCCACCTCTGTTCACCCAGCAGTATAAACGCTACGGCACAGATCGCTCGGCAGGTCGCGAGCGACCTGTGAAACAGCAGACCAAATGCCCTCTACAGAGTTCGCTTCAGTGGAGGCACTTCCGCCAGCAGTGACGCAAGCAAAGCAATTGCAGGGCTGCATCTTGACCTACATAAGTGGATCACGCTGTATACGCGCGTGCCTCTTGGCTTGAGATTGGTGGCATGCAGGTTGATGCTTTGAAATACAATCTTGTTTTTAACTCTATCATTTCTATTATATTTTTTAGTAGGGCATCTATAAGCGGATCACCCTGTATATATATACACGCGTGCCTATTGGCTTGCTGCAGCCTCTAGGCAAAGGCGAATCCCAGCAGACCTGTACAGCACTCAACGTGTGCAGGCAACCGTGGCTCAGGCTTATTATTTTGGGCGCTCGGTGGCCACGGCGCGTGGCATGTGATGACCTCGTCTTCACGCAGCCTCCCAAGTGTCTGGGGGAGATATTTTTTTTCTCTTCACCATGGTTCAAGGTTCCTTGAAGACACCGCGCGTGATGCGGCTGCCCCACCCCTCCCCCCTTTTTTTTCATTCGGGCAACAACAACAACTAAAATTCCACGCAAAAGATCAACTCAACCCCAGGGCTTGACGCGTGAGCACGGCAAATTGAAACGTTCACACGTACCCTGTTAAATGTACGGGGGTAAAATTGATTGCGCAAAGGTGCAGCCCCGCAATTGCTTGCTCAAGACACTGCTGGTGGAAGGGCATTCCACGCGAGGGTAGATTTCGAGAGCCCCCTAACTCTAAGAGGGTAAATTTCGATGTAAAGCTTTTGTGACTGCAGGGATTCATCTTCTTGGTTCTTTCGGTAAAGTCACGTAGAAGGGAAGTAATAAAATAATAAAAATAAAATATAATAAAACAATTCTCACGACGTTTCGGCTACAACGCAAGCAGCAGAATGAGACACTGCCAAGCTTGGAGCTTATGAGACACTGCCAAGCTTGGAGCTTATATATATATAATATAAGCTCCAAGCTGCTTGCGTTGTGGCCGAAACGTCGTGAGAATTTTTTTATTATGTTTTATTTTTATTATTTTATTACTTCCCTTCTACGTGACTTTACCGAAAGAACCAAGAAGATCTAAGAGGGTATTTGGCCGATTATTCCACGTTGGTCAGATTCTCAGAATCAGAATCTTTGTTTACGCTGGAGGAATCCGATGAGCTACAACGTTCTTTTCCACAGGTGTCCAGTTGCAAAAACACGATAGGAATGAAAAGTATAGAGGAAAGGTAGGTAAATTACAAAAAAATATATACAAATAAAACTAAGCTATTTTTCGATTTAAAGCTTATATAAAGAAGATAAGCTATATTTCTTAACCAGGTAAAGCCCACTTAACTAGTAGTTTATTTTTCAGAAGCGACCTCGCCACAAATGATAGCTCAACGGAGTGGCTTATCATGATGTCTTGGACGAGGTAAGAGTACCAGAAACGTTATCCCACCCCACGTGACCCGCCGATGTATCAATCATGTATACTGCTGGGTGGACAGAGGTGGGGCAAATGAAGAAAGTTTACGGTCGAACCGGCAATGTGCTCACCATTGCACCTCGATAATGTCCACATAAAAAAAAAAATTGTGAAACTAATCTATTTTTTTTATTTCAACAGGTAAAACTGACCTGGCCACAAATGATAACTCAACGAAGTGGCTTATCACGTAGAAATTTATAGCAGCCAAATGTTTAAAGCGCATGTTTTTAAGTGTGGAGGGAAGCAACAGGAGGACCTGGAGAAAATCCACGCGACCACGGGAAGAACATGCAAACTCCAAATATACAGGCGTCAGGGTCTGGATCAAACCCACGATCTCCTGCATACCAGGCGAGGCAGATAACATCTCGCCACCGTGACACCCCAACTATTCCATGAATAGTAGTTGTTGCAAAAAGCTGCTTTGGAAATATAGATGATATGGTATGAGTTATTTTTTTAAAGTCACATAGATTTCCTGTATGTTGCTCGTCAACTCCTGTTTACAACCAGAAATGTCACGCGCCTATGGCAGTGATGACTGAATTCGTGATACAACCACACACACTGTTAGTCTCCCACAAAGTGCTACTAATGTAATCGCCTGCAGGAGAATGAATGATGGGAGGAGTCAACGCCTGCCAGGGATTTGACTCGGCCCATTTCAGATTGCGAGCCACGCCCTCAGTGCCTTTAGTCGCCTTTCATTGTTAACCTTGCAGCTCCAGCCTCACTCATCAGAGTGCCCTTGAATTAACCACTACAAATGTCTTACATTAGCAATGGTCCCTGCCGTCATCGGCTACGATTAATCCAATGCTGGGTGAAGGGCTTGCCCAAGCTCCTGCCATCCCTCACATTCCCTGCGATTGTAATCAATCTGAGACAAAGAGATCCTGCCCCACCACCC